ATTTACAGAAATTGAGTCTTGCACTGTAAACGTTAAATCATCTGGTGCTTCTACATGACTTCATAATTTCAGATTGTTTTTGTTAATACTGTATTTTGGCTTTTGAAGCAACCAAAATTATTTAAGATAGGGTACGTTTCTACAAACTAACTGAAGGTGCTTTTTCAGTAGATCTGACTTGGAAATATCACTGCTCTTGCACAATAGGTTTTTGTTCTTATGCATTTACAGCAATAGTGTAGTTTTGAGAAAGAAAGTAGGCTAAATGCTAGTGTTTGCACTGTTTTTAATCCTGTACATAAGCACTGATAGATGCAGTAGGATTTGTGCTGTGTGTGAATTTCACTGTTTTAACTAAATTGTACAAGGAAGGTATCATATGTAGCAATTTCACTGCCTGTACTCAAGATTGTACAACAGGAAGTATTCTGGATTAGTGGTACTACATTAAAATTAAATACTTGGGTTTTAACTTTTTTGTTGAAAATTTTAGGTTAAGCTAGACTTAAAGTTTTGTATAGATTCAGTTTTACAGAAACCCTTATTTTTAGATTGTTCTCAGTGCTGGAATACTTCTGGGAAGGAAGGAAGTGTTTTCAGTTCCTCCTTCAGTACTTGCAGGAAAAAAAAAAGCTTGTTTTAAGTAATTATCAACATTTCACAGGGTACAGAATGTTTGAATTTGAATAGGTCCACTATGAAATTTTCTGACAACACCACTGAGTATTTTGTCACTGTTAAGCCTTTATATTGTTCTCAGAGCAACCAGCTTCTCATTTCCATTACAGTTCTGTGCCTTTAAGAAAATGATTACAGCATATGGAGCATGAATAATTTTAAAACAAGGCATCTATAGTTTTTTAAGATAGATCCTGCAAACCCAGTTCTCTGACTCACTTCCCACAGTGAGAAAAACTTACTGTGCAAATTTTTTTCAGCATGCTTGAGCAAAATTACTAAATTAACTATATGAACCATTTATATATTACTGGTTGGCTACATACTCTTGTTATGCAGGAAAAGTATACAAAACTGCAGTTTAAGAGCTCTCAGCAAATACTTCTTGTCTATACTTAAAACAGAATCCTTAAGTAACTATACTATGTCTGCATGGCACTGCAGTATGTGGAAGCTGCGCTTCAGTCCTGAGGAGCAGTTTAGCTGGGTTTGCAAGGCAGTTTAACATTAAAAAGCAAAAGAGACTCCACAGAAGGTGGGGTTTTGTTCATGAATTTTGGCATGCTAGACTGCTGTATGCATTCCAGGGCCTAGGCTGGCTCAGGTATTGCTGCCCAAAGATACCACTGTTCTGTGCCGCACTGCATGCCTCACAGAAAACAGGGAGCCGGTTTTACATTACATGGCTCATGTATGAAGGGTTATGTCTTCCTCTTGTTTGTTTAAAGTGCAAGAACTTGATCTATTTTCCTCACTGGTATGTAGTGGCATATCAATGCTAATTAAGTAGAAAGTATGTACAGCTAATAGGGTTAAAAACCATGTAAAGTTACAGATTTTACACAATTTCCATTATGTTATCTTGAAGAAAGTGGGTAACTCAACTCTTCAATTTTAGTAAATAAAATCTGTAACTATCTATAATATCTGTACTAAATGCTGTACTAAAGATTGTGATTGTTATTCACTGATTCAGAAACTGAAGCATACTATTTAAGAGACTATGACTAAATTGACATTTTCTTCTATACTGTAATTTTTCTCAGTAAAATTAAATTACTTTATGTATAAACTTACTGAAGTACTGAAGTATGAATATAAACATTGATCAGTGTGAAATACAAAGCCTGTGCTGGTGGTACAGGTTATTCTTTCACTGCAGAGTGTTTAAATGTTGCTTTAAGGCAGTCAGCAGCACTGATTACACATAATGCCAGGAAAAGAAGTATTTTTTAAAGTCAATTTTAAAGGTGCACAAGGGGCCCACCAAACACAAATGAAAGAAAAAAGAATGTTTTGGAGGTACTGGAGAAAAGAAGCACGTGAACTTCATTCAATGCTTTTAAAGTATTTATGAAACAGCAATTTTTTTTTTCTTTGTCTATATAACCTGTTATTCAATGAACTGGATGCATGGAAATGGTTTCATAGATGCCTTTCCATTTTTATAAAGTGTTCATTGAAGCTGTAGTGGGTTTGTAGCAAGTACTAATGTTCTTGAGCTCAGCTAAAACCTATGATCAAATCTGTGGTGAGTTCTTAACAACCTTTCATGTCCCTAGTATGGGAACTTTCATGATGGTGTCATACCACTTACCTCAACAACATGTGGAGAAAGTCACTATAGTACCTTTAGGCAAACCCATTCATCAGTAAGATGACAAGGTATGTTAAAGCAACCCCCAAGGCAAAGAAACAGCATTAGAAATTTATTCAGAATATAAGAACATTTGTAAAATAAGTAGTATAAATGGCTCTGTATAAATAAATGCAGTTTTTACAATTCTACATCAAATAAACATAAAAGTTATTTTACAGCAGCTAGGAAACTAAAAAGCAGGAACTCATTTAAAGCTAATTCAGTAAGGTGAAGTGTTTCTAGAATTACCATGTTATGGTACAGTATTAAAGAAGGAGAAAATACAAATAAAACCAGTAGAACAATATTGACATTAATACAAACTTAGTAACATGTGCTTTGCAATAGCTAACAGTACATTCAAGCTGGTGAAGACTTACACAGTTAATTAGGAAAAAAGTACTTTTTTCTGAACACACTGTGAAATACAAAATCTCATGCACCTTGGTGACTTAGAAAATTAAATAATACACCCTAAGATAATTAATGAGTGAACAACTTAGGTTCTGTTGGCAAGAAGCATCTATTTTTCTTGCTTTGCAAATATATTACTTATGCAACAAGTGTTAAGTGGGCTGCTGTAACTCAAGGCGATTTGCACTCTTGTGTATGTTGATAGGCTGGTGTTTGTTTCAAGCAGCTGCATAAAAGGAGTTAGGTTTTTGGCATGTATTCTCAGGGTTAGTGCCATTGTTAACAGGTATACTGGAATTGCAGCTGATTGTTAATAACAGTTTTCACGGTAACAGTAAACCTTTTACCACTTCCCTGTTGACCTTTTCCAGTAAGCAGGCAAATGAAGTAGAAGCTGCTTGCTTAGGCAAAATACCTGGTTGGTCTGGCAAACCATAGCTACTGCTGAGGCTGTAGACTATCAATCAGCCTCGCTTTTTCATACAGAAACATTATGGGAGGAAGAGGCAGTGGTTTACATTTACTGGTGATTTATAATTTATTCTAAAACAGTTTCAGAGCATAGCTGGCAGGGAAGACAGTCAGTAAATGTAGTAAAACAATGTTCAGTTGATGCAAAATCAGCAAATTGTTAGGCCTGAAAAAGGCACCAAGGGATACTGCAGCCTTTTAAAGCCTTTAAAGCTAGATGAATTTTTATACTTTCTTAATTTGTATATTTCCTTTAAAGACATGGTGCAATTCAAATGCTTTAAGCTTCATGTTATTAATAGCTTCCCTAGCTACAGAAAAATAGAAAAAATTGAGCCTAAGGGCAAATGCAGTGCAACAGTGGTTTCTAGTCACCTTAAGTGAAAGGTATTTTGCGCAGATAGTCTTGAGATGACCTCAAGTTAACATGGATGTTTCAGATGCAAGAATACAAAACTGCAGCTGCATTTTTGCTACTGTACAAAGGAGGTAAGTCTTTCTGTTTCTTCAGAAACAAGTATGATCAGCTACCACTGAAGCTTTTGGCAAAACCCTATATTCCTGTTGGTGAAAAACTTGCTGGCCAAAAAAGGGTAACGCCATAGATAGATGCTTAGGAAAACCATAGAGATAGTAAGAAATCAGTGTGCTTGCTCCCTCACCAGCTGGGTCTGCAAAGATTTCCATTTGCATTTTAAATTAAGAAGTTAGAGAAAGAAGACTGATCACAACCAGTCCCAGGGCACTGCTACCTACAATGTAATTTTGAAATCAGTATTGTTTTAACTTGCTGTAGCAATCAGTCATGTATGATGTTGGCTTTGTAGCAGATACATCAAGATTCTAGAGAAGCAGGGATTGCTACCCTAAGAAGCAAAAAGCAGCTACAGTGATAAGAGATGTGACAAACACCAACAGCTACAGTTTCAGAGGCAACCAACACTTAACAATAACACCATATTCTGAATGCAAATTCGCACAGCTATTTTGGCTGCCTGGCCAAACCCAAGAGTACACAAAACCAAGTCCTCTAAAAATACTTCCTTAGTAAGAAATACTTGTAGTAAGAAATTAAATGAATAAATGAAAGAAGTTACTGTAACTCTAAATACACTAATAAAATTCATGTGCAATTCAACATATAAAGCAAAAAGGATAAACAAGTCCTGAAATCAGATTCACTTGAAAACAGAGCCTGAAAATATGAAGTAGAGGTATAACAAAGTAACAGGCTTTGTTGAATGGACTCTAGTTTGGCATGTTAAATGTGGAAACTGTTTTATGTACTCAGGTCAAAAAGAAGCAAATTCTGAATGAAACTGGTGCCTCTGTATTTTACTCTGTAGAGAAATCTATCTGATCTACTTTGCTTGATGCTCATTACCATCACAGGCCAAAATTTTCAGTTCAGGCAGTTTGATAATACAGTAACGTGACTTAAAACAATCAGCAGTAACAAAAACTAACCTAAGAAGCTGTATGAAGACTTCACCATTCACATTCTATTTGTGTCTGTATATCCATACACCTACACATTTATAGTTTTGTGCCTATGTATTCAAAATTAACCGGGTACATAACAGGTACCTTTTTTGGTCAGAACTGGTATAAAAAGAAGAGATTCTACCTCTCGATAACAGAAAGCTGTAATAAGCACTATACATGTGACAAAAATGGCACAACTTCTTAAGGAAAACCTTGACTATAATGTAATAGCAAGAAACCCCCAACCGTCTCTCAGAGTAATTGCAAACATAATGCACTATAAACACCAGATTCCCTATAATTTCAGCTATTGTGTTGTGTGCAGAGGGAGCACAGGGATTGTGAAAACTCAAATTACCTCCAAACTGCCCAAATTGAAAACTCTGTTAAGAATTACTGTGTGACACTGTCACCCATGGGACATTTAAAATGGAAGAGAAGCTGTAAGAATACAGACATAATGACACAGACAACATATATAATTATAGCATGATAATTCAGGCACTGCCATTTTACATTGCAAAACAGTCCTTAAGGTTAACACATTATCCCCATAACACCTCTCTGGGATCCCAGAGCAGGTTCTTACTGTGTCAGCATTGAGAGTCAGGGCTTTCAGCGTTTCAAGCTACCTAAGTCAGCCTCCAAAAGAAACAAATTTGTAATGGCACTAAGCATCTTTGAAGGAGATGCATTTAAAGTGAAGTTTCATTGGTGTGTGGTCTAGAATTCTCTTCTTCTAGTAAAGCTATTCTTTGTTTGAGCATTCTTACTTGTGTTTCATGTCTCTCCACCATGGCCATCATTTGTGATTCCAATTTCTTCAGCTTATTCTGATGCTTTTTCTTTGCTTTTTCATAAGCTCCTACCAAGTTGCTGTTAGAAATACAAGGCAATACAAGATCATTCAAAAATGGTTGTTCATAGCAAGTGCCACAAAAATCTACCCCAAAACACCACTTTCAGGCAATTCCAAAGTTTGGATACTGATCATCTTCCTAAGATTTACTAGTTCTTTAAAATGCATGAGATCCAAACTTTGGTCCACATCCAGATCAGTGCTAATCACTGACAAGGTGTGTACTGGCCCCCAAAAGATAGAGAAAATAAACTGGTTACTGAAAGCAGTTTTTAACAGAGATCAAAGAGCGAGCCAACTAGAGGTTGCTGGTGATGACTTCCCAGAGTGCGCACAGCGTCAGGACACACAGAATGGCATCTTGTGCTAATCTGTCAGCTGCTAAGTATCTTCTGTGCCTCCACTTTGACTCATCAGGAAAGCTGGAGATGGGTACTGCTCCTCACCACATGGGCTTTAAGTATGATTTATTAATGAAAACTGCATTGTGAGCAAATAGGTTTCTTGCAGGAAGGGCAGCTACACTTCATCACATTCTCAGTATATTCAAACACAGTCCCAGTAAAAACTACTGAGTGAGCAATAAAATTTAAGTGTGATTATCAAAGCCAGTTTATTAATAAAGAGACTGGAGCCAAAGAAAAGGGAGCAATTTTAACCAAAATAAGAGATTCATAATCTGAATAAATGGAGTTTTTTGTTTAATAAAATACATTTACTGGTACCTCAGTTAAGATTAAACTATTTATTTCTGTTCCTCTGTTCTTAGCTATGTACTTTTCAGCATCTTACATGGGAGGCTTATACTTCCTGCATCTCTAACTATAACCTTAAAGAGTCAGCATGGGTGAAGACAAGGATCCAGAAACTGCTCATTAAAGTAGAGGAGGATTACAGTGCAGAGCATGGCCAAAAAAAAATAAATAAATAAAATCAATGGCACATCCACCTGCTGGTAGATCTTTTACCTGTTTGCCCGTTTAAGGTCATTAACAAATTCTGCGGACTGCTGATGTCTGATTTCACTGCTCTTGGTGAGTCTCTCCAAAGCACTCACTAACTCTTGCACTCTAGCCTTCAGTTTCTTCTCCCTGGGTAAGGATAAAAGGAGGAAGAAAACTATTTTCAAAACAGAAATAACACTTCAGCTTGCAAGTACATGAATGGTTGTCCTGTGCTGGGTTGACAGGCTGAAAATATGTTCCTTTCTACTACTTGGATAAAACAGGAGGTAGTTCTAATATTAAACTTTTCCACAGGTTGATTTTTCTAACATTCACCATTTTAGAATATGGGATCAGAGGTGCAGAGAAAACAAACTTATCTGACGAATTATGGTCTTGTATGTATCAAATTACAGTAACCACAAAGATACATAAAAATAATACTTTAGAATACCTACTGTGTCTTGAATGAGACAGCGAACTACCAAAGGAAAATAAACCGTCATGTCTAGCACATAGGAATTTTAATTAAAAGTAACACAACAGGATTGTTACCTAGGTCAAGTTGCTCTATCCAACCTGACCTTGAACATTCCAGGGATGGAGTAGCAACAACTTCTCTGAGCAACTTGTACCAGTGTCTCACCACCCCCAGAGAAATTTCTTTTTTTCAGTTACTGCCTCAAATTTACACAAGTAATTTATACTACAGTCTGTATTACAGTAGATCACTAGGCTTCTTTTAGGAGCCAGCAAGTTCAGTCTATGTGGCAGCAGGAAACAGAGAAAGTTAAGAACAAGAGAGGGGAGTACTGACAGAAAAACACAAATACAAGAAATGCAGAAGACTACAGAGCACAGGCAGTTTCTTCTATGAGCTACACTCTTTTTATTTCAAATGAGCCACAATATTGAAGTTTCAGATGTCAATGTAATTACCAATACTTACTTACCAATTATGAACCAATAACTAATTACCTGAAGTGTGCCAAAATGGAAGTAAGGTGCACATTACAAATGCCTCTATGAAGGAAAGAAAAAGTGAAGGCGGCAGACATTCTGCAGAGGAGCAAGTGTTACAGCTTAGGGTTTAAGCTGGCTTCACAAGGCATTTCCCAGCACAAGCATGCACATGGCATTGAGGCTGGTGCTTCTTCTTTGGGAGCTCCCTGCAGCACAGCTGATGACTGCCCACAGCCCACTCATATGCAGACACGAGACTCTCCCACCTCTTGTGCAAGGGTGTTGATGTGGAGATCCAGAAGCCTTTCTCTGTGACCCATCCTCATAGCACAGACATCCCAGAGAGAAAAACATCAGATTTGAAAATTTTAAACAGGGTGCTAAGAATGACATATAGCTGGGCTAAAGTGGGACAAAGTTACATTTAGATTTAGTTAGATTTTAGTGTTGAACCTTACACTGGGGAACTCTGGAGACATTTGTCAGTGTTTTCCAGCTTAGAACCTCTTTGCAGTGATCTGTCTTCCCCTCCTGTTTTGGTTGCAGCACTGCAAAGTGGGTAAATTTGACTTAATTTCAGTAACAAGACTATTACTAGCTTCCACATAAAGCCACTGAGCCCCATAGGAATGAATACCCTACAGTGTGGGAATACCGAATGAATACCCCCCTAGCTCTGCACAGATGCCCCTCGAAATCCAGCTCACCAGCCTGTAGTTTCGACGCTGGCCTGGCAACGGCAGCATTTTACAACCAGAGACTAGGGCAGCACACGTGGAAAGTTTCACTGTGCAAAGCTTCAGCAACAGAAGGGCTTTCACAGTCAGCCATGGAAATATTCCAAGTTAGCAGTTTATCCCAGCACGCTGCAGATGCTGGTTTACTGACCAAAGAAAGAAGGACATAAGAGGACCCTTGTTTGATGAAGAATCATCAGTATTCTTTATGCATCCTTTCACCAAAGGAGTGTATCTCAGTTTTCAAATTACACAATGTTTTCCCTAGTGTTTAAAAGCTCATTGCCATCCACCCCAAATAAAAGTTTTATTTTTATACCCTATTGTAGCAATCAGAAAGACACAGCACAGTCTACAGTCAAAATCTGTGCTCTGCAAAGAAAACAGAAACCAAAAAAAAAACCCAAAAAAAGAATAATCCAGTTTTTACTTGCTAAATATAAGATGCGTAAGATTAAGAAAAGCTCAGACCTGGCAGAAACCAGACTTATTACCTAATGTGTGTATGGCACTACTGGTATGACAGAACACTGTAGGGTAAATCTAGTCCTTGTCTACTCTCAAAGGATACCACAGCCAGAGAGGCTCTGGGCAAGGCTCAGCAGCACTGTGCCCAGCACTGTGACCTAAGCCTGAAGAAGAAGTCCAGCATTCACAGTATTTCGATGGGAGGAAAAAACTAAAAAATCACAAGAGGCTGTTGATTTGAGGCTGATTTAGCATCATGTGCAAGAAAAGGTATAGCCGTGAAAACACTGCACCCAGTCAACATGGGAAAAAGAACCTTGCAGAAACACAGTTTACTGCAGCTGGAGCGCTTAACATACTTTCTGTAACAAAAGCTGTGTGGAAAAAAAAACAAGTGAAAAGACCTGGAGGAATGTGTGATAGAAGTTTAGTTGTCACAGTCACCATTACTTGATAATATTACAGCACCTGACTAATACAGCACCTTTCATCTGTTTTTGCACTCACACCTTTCAATCTGTCATGTTCAGCCCAAACTCCACTAAATATCAGAAGCATTTCTTTACATCGGGCCTGTAAGGTCTTGCTACTTGGCAAAGATACAGGGCCCGAGGAGAGGGCCTCCGCAGGCTAGTTAACAGTGGGTAATCCTTCACATCTACAGATGTCTCAAATTTACATTTATAGCAGTAAAACACATACATTGCCTGATCTGACAAGATCCACGCAGTTTTTTTGGCTTTTCCTGATGTCTTTAAGTCAGTGAAAACAGTGCTAGCTAGGGCCTAACTCCCACCTTCATCTCAGGGAAACCTGGTAGCACGTGCTGAAATTCCCAAAATCTTATTAAAACAACACATAGGGATCTACTTTTACACTTACTGTTTCTTTACATCTAAGTATCTTTAGATATTTAGACACAGGAAATGTCTCATTTTGGTCTGGGAAATGGAGATGCATATTTGGTTAAAGACTATCACATGCTGAAAAAAACATGTAAGGCTTTCTCTGAAGTGTGGCACTATTTATACTAGTAGTAGATGAGAGGCCTCAGAGCTGTACCTTACTTACCTTGACCAGAAAATGCTCTATCCCTTCATAAAAATCCCATGCCTTATAATGCTAAACCTTTTCACTTCTCTCCATTTCCATCACTTATTACCTCAGTTTGGACAGTAAGAAATGTCCTTATTTGTGTCTCTTCAAAACTGATTGCTTAGTTGGGCAGTAAACAGGAGTAATAATGAATCCTGAGGTGCTATTTGGATTCCTTTAATGCATTACAGGGTTAGCTGTCTTTACAGGATTTCTAGCATCACTTCATTTCCTCCGTTGCTTTTGTAAATCAGCAGGATATGAAGAATCAGGCTTAATAAACAGAATATTTTAAAACAATAGTCCTAGTAATATGCAGCATTTTTCCTAAATGAGAATGTGTCAAAGCTGCAAACCAGGGATGGAACTGCATTTGACACAATGGCCATATGAACATCTTCCTGACACAGATGCCATATGGGTCTGGCAAGGCCTTCTGCTGCCAGACCGTGTTCCAGAGCCTGAAGAGCAAACGTGCACAGAATTCACACTGCTGTCATGCCCCAGGGCTGTAATATGGACCAGTATGGATCCTGAGAAAGCATTTATGTTTGTATTTTGATGTGAAGAGGGAAGGAAAAGCAAGCATTTTTACCAGAACACAATTTCTGTGAGTCCACAAATCAATCTGACTGCAGAAGTCAGCACAGATTTTGCTTCCAACATTTCCTTTTCAACTGGGTACTGCTACTGGAGCTGTGGAGAGCCATGGCAGCAGCTCATTCACACAGAGAAAATGAGCACGTATTCCCAGAAAGGGAAGAAGCTTATGATCTGAGGGCATGGCTTGCTTCCAACACAAGGGTTCTCTGTTCTTGGGGCACTTGGGAAGCCTGCTGGGGAAATACTCAACTGCTCCCTTTCCAAGAAAATGCAGAGAACAGGCCTACAGCCTACTCCAACATCTTCTAAAAACACTGTTTTCAATGAAATGCCTAAAGTGCTGGTAACAAAGACTTTTGTTTTGTATTTTCACAATCAAAACACTCAGTGGGCAATTGCTAATGGGTTTTCAAGGGCTTTTTGTTTCAGACTTACAGGATGGTTTGCACTGAAAGGCAAACAGACAGGGCGTGGCATCTCTGGTTTCAAGGCTACTGTAGAGAGCAGGGAATTCTGCCAGAGCTGTAAAGGAAACTACCATCAGGCACATTTCTGCAGTTTCTGTCAATTTGGCCTCCACGCAATGACACCATGTTTGGCCCAGAATAATGTAAGCAAGGTCTTGCGTACTTTTCTCTCCTGCCTGGGCTTTTCCAGACACATTCAGGTTTCATGTGCCAAAGCCTTCCCAGGCAGATTTTCCTGTCCTTGCTCATTCCACGAGATCTCCCCAGTGCTGAGAAAGGAAGCTGCACTTCCCTGGCACACAGAAAGTGAATTTTTCTGCCCCTGGCTTGAAACATACCTAGCTGTTGCCCCTCTGCCCTGGGCTCAAGAACACCCATAGCTCTTGGTGAATCTGGAGTAAAAGAGGAGTAATAAGCTTTCTCCAGAGCAGGAGGCAAAAAAATTTCCCACAGCTTGGCAGAGGAGTCAGGGGTCTTTGGGGACTATCCTACACCTTGCCATCCCTAGAAGCGTCCATTTACTCATCAGGAAGCATTGCCTGCTACAAGGAAACCTCCCCAAATTCTGGCTCCCCTGTCAGAGTGGCTTCAGCTCAGCATCTGCCCCTGAGCTTCACAGACACAAAGCCCTGGCGTAGCAACAGGGCAGCCAGCTTGAAGAGACTGAGGACTCAGTGTTCCTGGGCACAGGTACCCAGGCAGGCAGGCATGTGGGGTTTGGGGAGAGGAAGGAGAAGCAGCATCTCTAGCATGTCCCCTAGCTTTCTGCATGGTCCCTGCTTTGAACAAGAGGCACACACCTTCCATCCCATGCTTTGCTCCTAGTCCCTTCCCTATTACGCTCTTGTTTTAAACCTGGCATGTTCTCCCACTCCCATCTCTTCTTTTTCCAGTTCCAGCTGAACAGGGTGACACATGATTTGTTTTTTTCTAGGCATTTGACTCCTCTCAGAAAATAACAGCTGGACAGTTAGAAGGAATTCAGGTACATCAGTTTGAACTAACATCTTACTTCAGGCTGGCGTGCAGAATCTCCAAGACTATTTGAATGCATGCCTGCCTCACTAGTGCAGCTTGGCCTGCTACAGAAAACAACTGGTATTTAATAGAACTTTTTATAAGAGAGAACAAAACAACACTTCAAATGCCAAGAATCTTAAAATCATCCTCTTCAAATTTCCCTGCCTCTCCTTGTCAGCAGTTGCCTTGAGATCACCTGTGCTTTCTGCTTCCTGTGCAAAGGTAGCCTTTTCTGACCACAGAGAATATGGAGAGGGCTTTAAAAAAATGCCTTGCTGGTGTAATATACTGCTTTTTTGCTGACTGTCAAATGCTTAGAGCAGATCTAAAAAAAAACAGAAGGTACCACACCACAGACATGCAGCATGCAGACAGGCCAGGTACAGTCCCGGAAACAACAGACTGGCAGCAAAAAGGAAGAAGCCTGGAGGAAGGCAGCAGCGTGCCTGCATCTTTCACTGCTCAAACCTCCCACCAGCTTTGCCAGCCCAGCCTGAAAGCTCTCTTGACCTGCAGCTATTTGGAGCTCCTTGTGATGACTATATCCAAGTGCACAGCAGCTCAGTGGTGCAAAAAAATACGCTGCAGTAAGGAGAACTATTTATTCCATGTAAAAAATGTAGAAAAATGGTTATCCTTGATGCTTGTAAAAAAAAAAAAAATAGCTACCCAAGGCACTTCTGAGGAATCTGTCCCTTACATCACTGTAAGTCATTTCTTTTCTTGCAAGATGGTTTCCCTCAGTGGGCCTCTCCAGGGGAATTTCCAGAGACAGTCCATGCCTCCTGAACACCTCAGGCAGCCAAGTGAAACCACAGCAGGAGACTGCAATGTCATGAAAAACAGAGATCCCTGAAATTTGCCGTGACTGTAGTCCATGCCTGTCTGGCGTTCAAATGTCTCCAAGTTGCTTATTTCCTCATTTAATGAATGTGATAACAAGAGAACAGAGATAAGCAAATGTAACTGACAAAAAGCAAGTGATGATGCACTGAAAACACTCATCAGTAGCTCCTGTATACCAACCCCACCTCTCTCTTCTCACTTTGATCCACTGCATGATCATTCTGTACTCTGGGCAAACAGAAAAAAGATTTTAATGATTCAAGTCTTAAGAGCCATTTTGTATCTGAGTCATGTATTTTTGGCATTTCCCTTTCCATTTCCAAGACTTAGCCTTACTGATGGTCAAGATATGCCTGAATTTGAGAGATGTTTCTACTTGCTCCTGGATCCTGTTATCATGAAACTAAGGGCGGCCCTGAAAATTTGCCAAGATAAGATATCATCACATGAAGTCCATGGAAGTTTAAAATAAAGGAAGGTGGCTTATTTATCTCTGGGTGACACTGTGTCAGGCAGAAACAGTCACTGCCATGCCCTGGCACATCCTTCTGTTGAAACTGTTGCTCTCTCAAAACAAGGAGTTTGGTGCAACACAGGGTTGAGGTCTTCAGGTAGGCCTAAGGACCTAAGACTGCAAAGGACATTACAGTATCTCAACAGACACACGAAAGCTGTTGAACAGGATGAATTTTAAGTGTCCTACTAGAAATACCTGCAGTTTCCACTTCCAGAGAGGCAGGACAACACCACTGTGCAAAAATGTACTTTATGTTAAAAGAACTATTTAAAAAAGTTTAATTCTACTGATTACCACCCTTTTCCTTCTCCATGACAACCTCCCAATTAGTAGCATCACTTCCTAGGTTATCTCTTAGTTCAAAAGTCATCAGAAACGGTAAATATACAGCTGTTTTGTTGTGTTGCTAGATGGGAAGCCATCCTTTTTTGAGGGAACTGACACAACTCATGTAACCCTGCACTGGCATCAGAGATCGTAATTGTTTGCCAACTGTTGACCCAGCTGAAGTCTGAACAGTCAGTCAGTCTAGTTTCAAAGTGTTTTGTCTGCCACGGTCCTTACCTAGGAGTCATTGTCAGATCCCTCCTGCCCAAATATTTTAATGCTTACAGAGGACTCTCTAAATACATGCACAAAATACAATCCTATGCAGATAGAAAACCTATCAGCAACAAATAAAAGGAGAGACTGCAAGGAGGACCTCAGCAATCAAAACATTTCTAATAAGGCCCAGGGAGAAGGAAAAGTTTCAGACTTGCCAGCTTGGACATTTTTCACAGAATGGAAGAAATTAGCAGGAAAAAAAAAAAAAGGTTAGTTCTATCACCATCACTGCCACCCTGCTAAAATCAAAAATGTTTCCTATGTAGAATTCTTACTGTCACCATCCTGCCATCTCTAATGCATCTATAACCAAGCATGTGCTTACTAAGTTACAAACTCATATAAGCAACATACAGTGCTCCCTTCCCCTGCCACAGCTAGAACATACTAGCAAGAAAAATGTCATTTTAAGTTCTTCTTCAGACTATGTAATGTGCCTGATTTTGCGGGAGTCAACCAGATCCCCTCTCGCAACACCAGCCTCTCGCATAGTCATCGAAGCGTCAGGGCCAGGCTATGAGGCTGCTGGGAATACATTTTTGCACTCCCACTAATAAAGTACTTCCTGCCAACATCTTTGTTTATGGATGTGTCAGACTCAAAAATCTTCATGTCCACTGAAATATTCCACCATTCCACTAAGAAAGGAAGTGAAAACAAAACTGCTGAAGACTCTGGCATAAAGTATTTATGCTTGGCTGGAATAGAATGTGCCTCTAAATTAATAACCTTAGCCTGCAATACCAGAAATCTGGTCACCTAGATGTAACTTTTACAACATTAAACTCACAGACAATTTACATTTCTACTAGTTAGCATAGGGGTGACAGAAAAGAAAAGCTATTTCTGTGGGAAGCCTGTAAGATGGGTTTTAATGCTGAACACTGCTACAGGAAACCCTGTGAAAAATACCCTGTCCACACATCTCACAGAAACCGTGCTGAAGCCCCACTGGTAGTAGCAATCACATTTAGCACAGCTGTATTTCCATTACATAGAAAGTCTTTACTCCAAAATTTATGTACAGTTTAATCCAATTATTTTCTTCCCCATTTATGCCTGACAATCTGTACTTGCTAGGCCCCTGGCTGGAAATCCAGCTAATCAACTTAAGGGCTAGTAGATAAACCGAAGTTGTCTGTGTTGTCAGCAAACTAAATTTCATGACTATACTCAAGCCTCTGGTAATTAAGGTCACTGGCATCTTCTCGAAATCCAGGGGCAAATAACAAGAACAGGAAAAGGTGCAGCTTGAGTGAAGGCAGAAAGTGCCAGTGGAGATGCTCACATATTCTACATTCCACTCACTGGGACTGGAGTGTGAGGAATATGGAATCTATGGCTCTATGCAATATTTATGTAAATTACATTGTTGATGGGTTTTATCTGCCCACACACACATGACAGTTTTGATTATTTTAACCACAGAATTTTGTTTCCTGCATCAAGCAAACAACGCTCTGTAACTGCCAGGCTATTAAGCAAGTGGTATGAGATATACTGATTTTACAGTGGTAATGATCTTACATTTCTCCATAATGCCTTTCAGGCTTAAGTGTCCTTAGGCACATTAAGAGCTGCACCTATGAAAAAAGCACTTCAGGAATGAATCACCACAGCTGCTTAAGAGGTCATTCCACCATTAAAGAATGTGCAAACGCCAAAAAGCCAAAAGACACTCTCTCCAGCCAAAATTCTTAGCAGCATTTTGGACAGGCTCTAAATACAGTAATAACTAGATCAGATATTAAATAGCCATGCCCTGGGAAAGGTGGAACAAGTACTAAAAAACCTACTGAAACAGTGAATATTTTTGTCATGAAGTTTACCACATAGCTGGTGCAGCAAAAAGAGCTGTACAAGCAAGTATGAAGTTAATGTGTAACTGTACTGAAAGCTTTGGCTTAAAACCTGGCTGTTGACAAAAGCAGTTCGTCAAGACACCAATTTTCTCTCCTGTGAGAAGCAAGAAGATAATGCTTCACACAACAATGTCATTTGTTAATTGAATTGTGGATTTACTTACATACTCAGGATGCAAATGCAGCATCTGAGTCATCAAAATCACTGTAGCTCCCACTCCTGTTAACTCCTACCTAGGTTCTAATCTGTGACCAACCTTCTGAACCAAAGATCACACCTCAGATCCTGTCTTCACTAGAGATTTTCTGTCTGCCCTCAAACAAGTCATGTCACTGTTTTGTGTCATGTGTTCTTGCCTGCATATGGACATTCTTGACATTCTGAGGGCTTCTTAGGGATACAGTTAATCTGAATTGTATAGAACCTCAAGGAGAATGGAGCAGAGCACTACGTGAGGACTTTCATTAGCTGAAGAACTACAACAAAAGAGAGAGGAGGGTCAGAAGAACTTCGATCCTTTTCCTTCTCAGACAAAAAACCTGTAATCACTCTTAAAATCACTCACGGGTTAGGAGTGAAGGCTCAGAACTAAACTTCACCCCAGACCTACAGAACACGTAATGCCTCTGGCGAAGGAAGCTGCTTACCGCCTCAGTGCGTTTGTCAGTTCAGCAGTCACTTCACTCTCATCATATGGACTCAGCTCACCTAGTGTTAATGCTGTTGCTGCTGCGGTGCCATCACTGCCTTCCTGAGAAATGAGGAAAGGCCATCAAAGTTAAAGTTACGTACCACCTTAATGGGAAAACTCTGGAAACTTCTTAGTTTGCAGCTACTTTTAAAATGAAGGTGAAATAAACATCACAATGTCACAGCAACATGGCAAGTCTATCAACATAGTACGAAATGGACTAAATGGATTAACACTTCACAAATCCTTCTAAATGTTTCCTAAACCACCACAGCTCACTGATTTGCAGAATTCTGCTATAGCGTGCATAACTGTTACTGCATTTTATTACTTTGGACACCACAGTTGAAACAAAGCATCACTGGATCTAACAATTCAGATGATGCTTTGCCAGAAACAAAACAGAAAGACAATTATACACTACTCCTGAAGTTTGTTTTTTAACACATTACTGAGGCTTTCTGGAGACACAGCACTAAACAACCAGATAAATTTTTTTCTAGGAATCACTATTTATGCAAATTCTTAATGTAAATACAGAAATCTGTTTATTTTGCATTATACTGAGGTGGGACAAATTCTTCATTCTCGAATTATTACAAACTGTCTGACTAGGAAAAAGAGACTGTCATTACAATGCTCTAACTGCTTAATTGAAATGGTATTTTGCTTAGACTCTCTTCCAGTGTTCCCAGTGAATGGCAACAGGCAAAACACAAGATGTTCAGCCACAGTAGCTTGTATATTTGGCAGGAATGGCTCTGTGGTGCTCCTCCCCAAAATTACCATCTTATTTTAGCCTGGCTTAACAGTATTTCTGCAAAGTTCTCATAAATTACACCACTGAAAGGATCACCTAACAACTGCAGAAGAGAGAAAAGACATAGCCAAAAGAAGAGAATTATTAAAATGCTAAAGGCAAGGAGGGGTACAATAAATTGTGTTAATGTCAATTTTAGAAATTTGTTTGACTCCTGACCTTGCCCAGTTTGTCTTTGCTTCCGCTGCTCGTTGAGCTGAGAGACCTCATCCTCTCTTCTTTTTGCTCTTCCACTTCAGACTTCAAGTGCTCAATATGGATTAGGTAGGCCTGCTCCTGGGCCTCTCGAGTGCTCAGTTTCAATTCCAATGCCTTCTTCTCCTTCTCCAGCAGGTAAAGCTGTGCCTTAAGCTCTGCCATCTCCTCCTGTTGAAGAAACATTATCAGCATGCTGCTTCATGAGATTACATACCTAAAGGAAGAAGTTAAACAAGATTTTCATTCACTCCTATTACTTGAGTGCTCTTTCCATGGGGAACACAATCAGCATCCAGAAGGCTTTTTATAATCACATGGTGTATTTGTCAATGGATCAGGATATCTTGAGACTGAGTATGATGAGCTGTGCCATCCTTTAATCAGCCTCAAATAACCTCACAGGCAACAGACCAGCTAATCTGGTGCTGAAATTAGAGTAGAGGGATCACAGAGGGTTGTGACAGCTGCTGAAATTTCTTTGGTTGTACTTTGCGCTTCCTTCAGAGACCACTACCCTAAAACCAGTGTCTGACTTTCTTGTCAAACAGCTCCCTAAATGCCAGATTCCAACTTCTTATTAATACCTAATAATTAAGAGTTGGTTTATCTCATTACAGTGGAACAGGTTTGAGGGACAAGGACAGAAGACACAGATCATATATTCTTGCCTCATAATACCAGCCTCTGTAGTAGAATGCACTAGTCAAAAAGGGCAACTGATATCCAGTTTTAGTTTTTCTCTTCTAGATGGTTAGAATCACACCTATACACAACAATTGCAATTCACAAAATTGCACTCACATTCTTCCCATGAATATGATCCACAGAAGATGGACATAGGTACTTTGTAGAAAGAAGCTCAATTCTGAAAGCTAATTCTTGTGTCACTCCAGTATTAATGGCTGACAACTATTTAACACAACACTTGCTGGTGTACAGACTTCTGCCCTAACATCTGCGTTGACAGTGTTAGTCATGAGTGCAGTGTGACTCTTCTTTCAGCACTTGCTTTCAGCTTCCCATGAAAAGCAGAGGATGGGTGTCCTGAACAAGAAGACTCTTTGCGTTTAACAACACTTCAGCAAAGTTTCTTCCACAAAATGTCCCAGGACAACCCATCATCTGCAAAACACTAAAGAGACAGACATAAAGAGATAAACATAATTTACATTATGTGTTTAAAACCACTATCAAACAAAAAGACTGCCAAAAAGACTCCCCTGAATCATGTTCTCACTGTTGAGCTTGACATGCCCTAGGTCACCACATGGGTGAATACTGAGTTAATGCAGCCATTTTCTATATCAGGGTTCATTTCTAGACTTGGTCACTATGCAAACATCCCTGAAAAATAGAATTTTCTTGTTGGTGGCCAGAATTTTGAAACAGAAAAAAATATCTGAGTCACAAAGACATTACAGGTTGTCAGTTTACCTTCAAAAATAATGCTTTTGGTATTATATGCATTATTAACAAAGATTGTACAAGCAGGTATCTTGGCACATATTTAGACCAACTTTTTCTGTAGAAGAAAATCTACATCCCTACCATGTGATGTCTGGATTAAGCGTAAGCAGTGCACAAAGGTGGAGACAGTTACAATAGCATACAGGAATCCCAGGTGATCATTGGATTATTCAGAATTACCAACCATGCAAAAATAAAATCCATATCCTAAATTCCTCCAAGCTTGGAAAGAGTCATATGAGCTTTAAAATCACTCCCTTAGTCATCTATTTATTTGTGAACTGCGGATTAGAAGCACAATCAGTTTCATCCAATGTGGTTTACAGAAATCTAGTTGTTAGGCAAATTTAACCATCAAGTTCCTTTGTCTACAGTAAAAATGTAAACAATACTGATACACAATGATGGAGCAATTTAATTACAGAAGTTGAACTGGTATACTCAAGTGGACATATTTAGCTTCTTAAGCCTGTTTCTAAAGCCATTAATCTACTTAGCCTGCTTAGTGAAGGCTGAGAAGTAATTTGAGTATTTTGGCATGTACGTGAATACTCTTGATAAAGGGCTATCTATGCAGGAGGGTCACGTAAAGATTCTCCCAGGCTGGAAGCTGAAGTTAGGCAAATTCAGCCTAGAAATAAGGGACATTAGTTTCCTAAAAAAAAAGGTGAACTTAGCCACTGCAACAATGGATCTATGGAACTGATGTTTCCCATCAGTTGAGAGTTTCAACTTAATGACTGGATGTTTGTTTCTACTACATATTCTAGCTGAACATAAATTTGAGGATCAATGGTTAACTTATTTGTTTATGAAGACAGTAAGTTTTTGACATCATATATGAATTCACAAATTTGTACCCTGTCCCAGAAGACATAGCATGGACTCCAAAAGCTCTCCACATGTGTTAGCTTCCTTGTACCAAGGCAATGTGACTTTGAAATAGAGAAGCAAAGACAAAGCAGGGCAAAACCATCAACCTCTGTCGTAAAGAGTGGAAAGGGAAAGAGCAGCAAGGGATGGAAAGGCTGAAGTTAAAAGCTGAGGATTCTGATATGGATACATATAACCTGTGAGGATGGGTGGCAAAAGTCACATTTCACCTGGGAAAATTTAAGTAACTCAGATTAACTTTCAGAGTTAATTATTCCTTACACGTGCAGCATCTTCTTCCATTAAAACACATTTTCTAAAGATAGTGTCTAAATTTCATTTCAATGACAACATCACCTTTGTATATTTACTATTCCTTTATTTTTTTCTCCCCCCCCCCCCCTTCCCCCAGTTACTGGGTGCTGGTGAAATATTTGCAGTTTAACCTATCTGTTCCTTCAGGGTGTGGACCTAAAGTGGCATTTACAAAATGAAACCCCGAAGGAGGTTGCAAGTAGTCACTCTTCCAGTTTTTTTGCAGAAGACTTACACAACCTGTTCAAATTCACAAGCTTCAAGCACTAAATCTACCAGTAAGGATTAATTAACTGAATATTGAGGAATATTATGTACTTGCAGTCATACTGTAATTCTGAATTTGGGTGAAAACTTGATGACAATTAAACAACACCCCTGACTCAACATAATCAGAAACACCACATAATTCTCAAAATTCAAACTGGTACTGGATGTGGTCATGCCAGAATAAAACAGCATTGACTCTTATGTGGCAAAAAATTCTAAAAGTCATGAAAAGGGGATTCTCAAAGGATCACAGTACACAAGGTGGAATATACCAGCCTTCAGAAGTAAAACAAGTATCAGAGCAGATAAATGCCATGCTCTAGTTAACCGTGTTTTACTACATACAAGAGCATGAAATGTTGTAACAAAGGTGGACAAGAGGATTCTTAACATTTTCTGCAGAGAGTCTGTAGTCTCAAAGCACATTATGAGCAGTATAATCACAACCTGTACACAGAAGAGGAAAAACTATCAGTGTAGAAAGCTAAGACTTATCTACATTACATACTTTGAAATGCACAAAGGCTGAAAATGAAGAATTTTTTACACCCATCAGAATTAATCTCCTTCCTAACTGGGGCATGACAACAACTGACCTCAAAGCAAGCCCATTGAATGATGACAAACCACAGACCAGAATGTATTTGGAAACGTAATTAATTACTGCTTGAAGCAAAGATTTGCATTCTATAGCAGTTCTGGAGAAACACTACGTCTTACACTCTGGACAAAAAATAAAGAAATAAATAAAAATAAATAAACAGGGCAACAGAAAAACCATCTTCAAATCACCTTTTAGGGATAATTTTCATCAGTAATGAAGAATTAATGGTATAAAGGCATTTTCAGAATATTATCAGTGTAACAGAAGAAATAAAACAACTGATCTGGACATCAGTTTTTACTAGGATTCATTAAATGAAACACGCTAAAAGATGCAGCAGAGATCCCAACACAAATACAAGTTTCAGAAAGACAGCAGCAGGTGTAAGACCCAGCAATGCAGAAAATCCTTGAGTAGCTTAATCAAGCTGTACCATCCTTGCTGGTTGATGAAAAGCCAAGACACTCAGAAAGCCAAGACGTCCATGAGTTCTGCCCGTAGGTTCAGCTATGTTATAACTTGTTGAACATGAGTGAGGTGCAATGCAGACCTAAGCCACAACCATAAATGCTAATAGGTAGCACATCCTCTTGGGACCAAAGCAAAGCAGAGTGTTGCTGTGCCTTTTCTAATGCTTTATGCATAGAAGAAGGGTACGAATTTCTTGTTTCTATAGCAGGAGAGCACTTACCAACAAATCTATCGCAAGTTTTGACAAACCCGAGTTTTCACTATGTCCCTTTCAGAAATGCAGGAACTCCCTGAAGTCATGAGTTTCAGAAAGTGCAACAAATTATAACAAATAACAATGCTACCAGTTTTTCTGAACCAGAAAGGACTTAAGGTGACTTCAGCTACCTGTGTAAAATGCATGGATTAGCATTGTGCACAAACCAATCAAGAAGAAAGATTTCTTCTTCTTCTAGGGACAATTTCTCCAGTGAAAACCCAATGTGCTACGTCAAGTCAAAAGTTATGAGTGTAAAAAACAAGTTACAGGATTTAGTGAACAAAAGGATTACCAGCACTCAAAACTGTAGCAGAAATTATGATATGCAATTGTTGGTGTCCCTGCCAGGTCAGGGAATGCCAGAGCACTAATCGCAAAGGACAGCTCTGCAGTTTGCCTCTACCTATCAATTTAAAGATAGAACTGTGTATAAGAGATTTCACAGAAGATCTGGATGCAAAAGAGGAGATGTAAGTGTGATATCTGAAATATGCATATAATTATCTATGAATATTTTCCAGTACATCTTGAATGCTTTAACTGTAGGGAATATATTGCTGTTGGCCACAATATATTCTAACAACTAAAACAACTTTAAATCTTCTGACTGGTAACAGGTAATCTTTTTTCTTTGAACTTCAAATATTGAATGCATTATTGCAAAATTGTATTGTCATCATGGAAAAAACAGTACCACTAAGAACAAAGTTATCATTTCTAGACTTAGCCAGCAGCAGCACATCAGAACAAAAATCTATAGCTTTAGGAGTTTATAAAACTATTGGGATCTGCTGTTATACATGATACATCACCTAATATATATCTGCCATTAGCTGACTAAAACAGGACTTGTCAATATGCAGAAATTAAACTTATTTAAACTGAACAAAATCCAGACAACTTCTAAATGCAGTCATGTGCTTGTATGAGGCTTGCTTTCCTTTGATATGCTCCTGTGTTTTAGTTCACCTCACTCAATACAGAAGCCAAATTTAAAATGACATGAGCTCTATACCTGGTCAACAAAGGTCAGTTTTTCTTAATAACCTCTTTAGAATTCTATGTATAAACCAGGCCTGAAGGACCAGTGTTTTCTCCAAAAACCTGTGTTACTGCAAATCACTACACACCATACTCTTTGTTCAGACTCTGAACTAAGCTACAGATTGCAACACAGTGCCTGGAACAGCTCTGGACTTGTGACTGACCACTCGAGAGCATTAGGGATGATAGCTTCTGACAGACCATCCTCCCATGACAACATTAGAAAGAGGTAAATTTGTTCTGCTTCAGTTCACAAATATTCAAGATGCACATTTGCAAGCTTGTAAGGAACTGTCTCTTGGGAAGTTCTGTATCATGCTTTTGGTTACCCTCAAGCAACTCAGCTGCCACATCCCTCAGGGAGAGCACCATTTGTCAAGCAGACCATTCCAAGTTCAGAGCCATGGATGAAGTCTTCACCTAATTCAAAACACACGTACTTTGTCAGTATTAAAGCACTCCTTCTCACTTTCTGACTACTGGGTGTTCAGCCCTGATTATTTGCTTTACTGAAGCTACCCTTTATTACCCAGTGATCCCTGTTAAAGCATCCCACATGTGTGACTGAAAGTGTTTTGGAGCAGTTTTGTAGGGGCATTGTCAGCAGTGAAGTGAGCCAGTTGGATATAAATAAAATACCTTCATTGCCATAAGTTCCTGCATCAAGACTGCATTTTCCAGGTCTAGCCTCTGGCTGTCTCCTCGAGGTTTAACGTCATAACTAAGGGGATCAATGTGGATGCTTTCCAGCTCCAGCATTGTCAGTTTCACTGCTGCTCTGTCATTTTTCAACTGCTGTATGTAATCCTTCAGTCGTTGCTCATCCTCCTTTGTAAATTCCGTATCACAACTGCTTGCAGTTGAGCTGGTAGTACTGGAAAGAGAAAACAGTATTATAAGAAAGTCTCGAACAAAATCTGCATTTTTTCATCAACTTCCCCCCCCCCCCCCCCCCCCCCCCCCCCCCATCCCGAGTAGTTCATCAACACATCTGAGTCTTAAAAGTTCAGAGAAAGGACACACACAGCACGAACTGGATGCTGCAATGCTCAGAAGATGGAGAGGGGTATGACAAATTCAGAAAATAAATTAATTCTCTAAGCTGCTTGAGAAAATTTAATCATGTGACAATTTCCCTGCAAAGCTGAGTATTTAGTGACACATAACTGAAGTCCTTTTTCTGGAATCATGTCTTCTGAAACCAGGTTTTTAATTAAAAATCTGAAAATAAATAGCTACTGAAGATTTCTTAGCAGTACCCTAGCACAGCAAGCTTCTCTGCTGCTCTTACCCTAAGTCTTCATCTTCTTTGGAAAGAAGCATCTGCTAAAAAAGAAAGAAGCAGGCCAGACTTCATTGATCTTTGCTGATAGCAATATACATTATGAGCTTAGACATTTTTAATGGACACTTGCAGGAATCAACCAGAGCAGAATTACACTGGTAATTGTCAGGAGTACACTGACATTCTTTAAATTCATGTTAAGATGTATTCTTCAGTTCATTGACATTCTTTCAGGGCTGGAGGGCTTATAACTCCTAAGTTAGTAAAAACTTTTAATAAAAAGTCATCATCAGATTTGGCAGAACTTCTCCTACCTACAAACAAATGACTGCCCATTAGTCTGCCCCACAAATCTTTACACAGAGATCACACAAAGTGAGAACTAATGCCTTAGAGAAAGGGTGGCTCAATGCTGCCTAGCCACTTACACACGTGCCAGTGCTGCAGGGGGCCGAGACTGATACCGTCATAGCATTCCAGGGCTCAATATAATTGCAATAACACTAAAAGGAAAATAAAATACCATGTTGTTTCTATAACCTCACTCAAAGCTGCCCGCTGTCTCCTGAGGTCCTGTAATCAGATGCCGGGTGAGAGATAAGTCATCCATTAACTGCTTGTCTGGAATGCTAGATGATCTCAGTTATCAGCAAAAATAATTTTCTATGTCAATTTGCACTGCTGTTCAACGTTTTTGTAAGAATTAAAAAGCCCTACCTGCTACATGTTGTAGGAATCAGGATGAATCCTAAAACATATTATGCATGTGAAAAAGGGGAAACCTATCAAGATAGGCTTGATTTTTCTCTTTTTCTTTTGGTTCTACTGCAGCTAAAGCTGAATTGATTTTTAAGTGCCTCTAATTGTCAATCTTCCCACAAATTCCAAGCACAGCCTTGGAGGAGATGGAGAATTGGCAGGTCTACAAACACTTTTCAAAATCCTTCCCTCTCATGAAGTATCGCATTACAGTTCTTTACCACAGTTTTATCTATCAATTCCCCATTTTTTCCTTCCGCTTCTTAGGGGTAATAGGTGCCATATTTACCACAAGTGTAGACTGGTCTTTGCTTTTGTCTTCTGCCATTACTATCTGCAGTGAAGCTAAAAACACCCAGTACATAAAACCCCTTCCAGACTGAAACAAATCTGTGTTCACAGAATGGTTTGGGTTGGCATACTTAGCTTTTCATTAGAGAATCTTGAAATAGTAAAGCAAGATTTACTGAATCTAAAGCTGTCTTTCTGAAGTAGATAGTGATAAAAAAATCATATGGATAACAATATGAGAAATACTTAATTCTGTACCAAAGTCACGTTGCAAGTTTCCTCAGCACCCAAAGCAATTGCACCGTTTTTCTGGATTAAATACAAAACAGCTGCTGTTGGAGGAAGAACAACTTTTAAAACCTACATGGGCTTCAAATCTTGGGACACAAAAGCGCTCATCTCATTTAGCATCAAGATTTCACCCAGAAGATTGGAAGCAGTATGTGATGCAGAAAGCTGGGGTACAAAGCCTACTTTGGACTGTTGTGAAAATAAGACTGAGTGATGAGGGATGGAAACACACTGAACTCCCACAGAACAGCTCTGCCATCCACCAAAAGCCCGATCATATACCTCCCCATAATGCTAGTCCATTGCTGCGCTATTTAAGGCCCACAGCTGGTGAGCGTATGAACTTGAGTTTCAGATATTGTTCTCTCTTCTTAAGAGCACTCAGGACAAAGGAAAACAGACTGGCAGAATGCATATATAGTATAATGCATCCATCCAAAAACCACATGAAACTCTTGCAAAAGATGTGCAGTTTCTCATGTCTGAAGCATATAGTTAAGGACAGAGAAAGGATCATCATTTCCTCACACCTGGAGGGAACACAACAACAATCTGCTCATTCTCACTGGTACTGTATTCATAACAAGTAAGAGAAATGTTCTTCCCACTTGCTTCATCCCTCCAGTCTTTTATAATGATGACATGCCTGAATGATGTCAATTTGCATATACAGCCTGTGGAAAATATGTAGATCAATATAGCATAATGTGCAGTTTTATTTGCTGGCATGCGTGTGTGTGTTCACATGCACATGTGTGTTCACATGCACATGTGTGTATATGAAACTCAGCAGATGGATAAAGTGAGGCTTCCAACAGTGCTTATTTGTGAGTAACTTCAGTACATTACAAAATTTTGCCCATAAAATTCTATAAGCTTCAGTTCATCTGTTAAAAATCAAATCAATAAATAAATCTGCAATTCAGCAATTGTGTAGACAATACAAAAGTTGACATAACTATAATGCTGTCAGAACAAAATCCACAAAACTTGCTTGAATGTCTGCATGCAACTGTACACTGCAAAGAATGCATTTGATAGAGAGTATATACAGGCCACCATCTTCTAGGGAATGACCGTGGCTTGAGATAGGAAAGAGCACAAAGCCAGAAGACAGTAACTTCCTGAGAAACTGAAAAATATGCCAACCAGCCAAAAGACAAACAACAGCGTATCTGGCTAAATTTAGAACCTCTGGTGAAACTACTCTGCTTCCTTCTGAGAATAATTAGGTCCAGCAATGAAGTCCTAAATAACATAGAAATATCACAACAGGTATCTTAAAATAACTTATTTGCACACTTCAGCCAAGATAATCTTGTCTGTCAGCTACTTATCCAAAATCTGCAGTAATTCTGATATTCTGTGACACTGTGTAATATTGAAAAGAATTCCCTTTAGCATGTAAGAGACCAGATCTTTTCCTCCATGAATCTAGATGTAAGGTTGGGCTTACTAGCACTGCAGAGAATAAAATCCACTGTTTTCAACTGGTATTACCACCAGAGTCTCTTTCCTTCTTTTTAAGGTACAGTCAAACCTTGTTGGCAATGTTTGTTAGTTTCTGTCCATTAAAATAATTATGACTCCCAACTACACTGTAGGCCTATTCCATTTTCCAAAAATGAATGGGTAACATTGTGGTGCTGCTAACTAAATAATCTGAGATGCTTGTTACTAATTTTATCCACTTTAGCAGAGCATCTGTGATGGTTTTTGGTTGCCTTTCATTTATTTACATTTGAGTTGCTCCCTTTTCCATTCCTAACCACTTGTAACTAGCAGCTCACTAGCTATTTATTCTCAGTAACGCATTCAACAATTTGACATTCAGAATCTCATCTGAAATGCCAAAGCTAAAAATGGGTCAACAATTGCATTATAAGTTCCACTTCTACAGGATTCTGAACAGCGAGTAGAATTACTCATTTGTCACAAGCCTCATGCACGAAGAGTTTTCATCATGGCACCACCTCTTTGCTCAGTTAGTTTCAAAGGGAAAAAGTAGCAATACATACAGGCAACTAAAAGCATGCAACACTGGAACAGCCATGCCGAAAGATCAGTCTTGCAGATTTGGAGTATGTTTGAACCATGTAATGTAAAACCGTTTTCATTTCAATATATAGTGGTCCCCAAATGGAGGTTCACACAGCGTTCACTAGTGATGCAGGCTTGTTCTACTCGCCAGTTTTACAGACATTAAGCCCGCAGGAATAGAATCATAGAATCATACAATATTGGAAAAAACTTTTAAGATCATCAAGTCCAACCATTAAATAGCTAGAAATCTGTAGTCTGCTTTCCTGTTTGTGCTTGGATTGCTATTGCAATGCAACATGAATGGAAATGGAAATTATCAACATCAAAGAATCAAAGACAGCTATAGGTCTGCAGCAAGGGGATGTGTGTCAGAACAGCAGGGAGCCAAGTGGCAACAGAACACACATGAATGGGGTGAGAGAGCTGACAACACAGGCAGGATAATGACAAAAAACAGGAGTAGGGTCCTGGAGAGAAGGAAAAGGAATCCAGAATGATAGGGAGAACGGAATTATAGGCAAAATCATCAATTTTTTAAACCAGAGATGTAACATTTACTGATATAAATAAAGTGTGTGCCTTTTAAACCAACACAGATTTTCCATCTATGGGCTGTCACAGTGTCATGTGTCCCTAAATGAAGAGGGTATGCCTCTGTTGTCAGACAGGGTCCACACGAAGGAGAAATCTGAAAACACCACATTATCACTTAACAGAACAGAACGGAAGAGTCATGGAGAAGCTAAAATTAAAAGAATATTCTCACTGACATGTATGTTTAGACAAATTATACTGGTTGTGGGGGGAGTGGAGAGGGATGACAATGTCTAAATGTTGATCAGATCAGGTTGCCCATGTGACAAGGTCCTGACTTGCTATGTGCCCTTTGGGTGACTGAGTACTCACGTTCTACATCTATCAAAGCAGGTAATAGTAGTTACCTTGTTCACTATAGTGTCTTGCTCTCCATCAGAAAAAAAAAAAAATCCTACAATGATAATGATTTTTATCTAAAATCCTGCACACAGAAGAATTTACATTTGCATTTTTACATTTCATGACACAGTTTACACTGATGAAATTTGAAATCCTATGCTATTTTAATAATATTCTGTTGAAACTTTATATACTCAGTCAACATGCTGCATGCACATGTACACACAGTGCCAGCTGAACACAAAATGTTCAAGGTAAACAATGAGCATGAGGGATGATTTTCTTCCTCAAACACATATACATCCATTCCTTACCCTTCCCCTCTAAAAACCAAAAATGCGTTCAACAATGCAAGGACTGTAAAGACTATATTCTTACAAACACTTTCAGTGAAAGGCTAAGAGAATAGACAATAAAAGAGGAATCAATTCTTTGCTCCATTTTCCCCTGTCAATCCTGGAAACTAGCTAAAGTTCAATAAGAAAAAAGATGCTTTGACTACATACTAGACATCTCACAAAGAAGAAAATCACCGAGGTTATAAAAAAAGAAAAGGACCCTTTCAAATAACAACATGGACAACTAGCTCAGCCTAGGTAGAGGTACTGGGTTTTGTGGTCACAACCTGTTCACATGCAGGGGTAGATAATGGTGTAAGAGAATGCAAACTGAGGCAAGGCAAGTCAAGAGTTTTGAAACAGCTTTGTACTTTTGAATGACCAACATGTTACTAACTGCAGATGCTGCCACATTAATTTCTATGTAAAAATACAGCTTTCTTGCACTGAAAACGCATCGTAAAATTCTTAGAATAAAACCTAAAAATTTACCTCACATTTGGACCCTGTTCCCTCAGGTTATCTTTTTGCTCACTTTTCAGCTTTTCCATGCTAGTCATACATCAGGAGGTACCCTTCGGAGAAGGCATCAGCAAGAAGAAATCGTATGGTATTAAAATAAACTTCTAAAGTGTCAAAAATGACAACATTTGAATAAAGAATGGGCTCAAAAACTGAATTAAAATTAAATTTTAGAGTGAATCTGTGGAACCAAAATATCTTTTAAAAAGAAAAATTATCATCTATTTTTGTCCAGGATGCTTGCCAAATAATATCCATACACAAGCACAAGCTCACATAATCACTGCACAGAGCACAATTATACCTCAGGCAGGCAATGACTCAAAATGAAGCTGCTAGCAGATGCATTTGAACTGGAACACTTCTGCAACAATAGCTCATTTAAGTTTCATTATTTTACAGGTCTTCAGAAAAACTGCAATATCTATCCTTTCCTGGAAGAATCCACTCTATCTATGATGAAGTTCATTTGCCACTCCACATGTGAAAGAACAGAATGGGGAGCTTGGAACAGGGGCAAAGCAAAATGGGAGAGCAAATGGTTTAAAACACGACTGGATTTGCAACATTTACAAAAACCTCCTGAGTACTTCAAAATGCTCATGAAAGTATATTTCTGATCTCTGGTTCTCAGTGTGTCTGTGCTGTCTGCACATAACAGATATGAACAAGAAGTACATGACTTGAATTCCAATAAAACAGCAAGAAAGTCACTGAAGTAGAACAAATATAATGGATTTGCTCTTTATGAGGAAGATGAAAGTTCAGAATCACTCCTTTGCAACAGATTTACACAGGACTCTTCTTGGCTGGAGTTGCTCGAAGTCTAAAGCAAATCAGACCACTGACATATGGTGACTTACAAATCAAAACAAAGAAGCCAATGGACTGAGGAGAAGGAGGTAGTTCAGCAGACTTGGGGATTAGGAGAGCAGATGAATTGCAGTTACCTTGTGTGGCTGTTGGATGACAGGCTTTCCCAGGGCTGTACGCTACAGCCGGTGATTGCATAGGCTCCTCCGCAGCTCCCATCTAGTTTTATCAGCAAGGCTTTTGCTGCGTTCTCAGCTGTCTTCCGGCAGTCATGAGCTCTCTTAAGCATTTGAGTGATGTTTTCATCACCTGCCTGGTCCCCTAGTTTTCAAGCAAACAATCTGTTTCAGAGCTTTCAGGAAGGTGATAGAAATTAAGGCAAGAGTAGAGATGCTTCTACATGCTCTCAGTTTATACCAAGAAGTTGACAATAAATTACCAATCTGTGATGTAAAAACAACTTTACTTCTGCCTGAGTATCAGTGGTAACTAATGCCTGAATAATGCATCTCCCTCCCAGCCACAAGCTCCAGGCACTTGCTGCTCTGGGTACATGTCTTAAGTAATGTTTTATCTTAGCTTGTCTATTTGTAAGGGTGCGCATTAGGATTAGGTTAGGATTCTCAAAATAATTCACTGTAAAAACATTTAGCCTTAATTACAACTTTTACTCCAGTCACTCCAGTGCTGTTTGACAGTGCAGTCATTTCCAGTGCTTTTTCTCAACCGCCTTCAACTCAAGCCTAATGGTTTGCCAGAACACCTTCTTACAGGTTGCCTTTCCAGCTGAGGAATTGCATTACAGCTTAGAAGCAGCCTTTCAGAGTTTACCATCATGAATCCTAAACTCAGTGAAAACTAGAACTGATGTTTCTTAATTTGATAATAATTTCTAGTGGTTATACAGCATTGTGCAGCTGGTAAGCCATCTCTTTAGCAGAGGGAGGACATAAACCACCACTGTCACCATACTTACAGTCTTAACTCCAGAAGAGTCATTAAAGTAATACACATTAGTGGCTACACTGAAATTCTGAACAAACCTACAATTTATTCATAGTTTACCAAATTCAATGCAAAGATGTCAGAAAGTATTAACAAACCCTCCCATCCCTGGTTTGCTCTATGTCACATTTTAATTTTATCCTTCTTCAAGTCAAAGACCAATTACCCAAACTTCATACTTGCTAATTGAAGTGCAATGCACTAGAAAATAATGTGAAAAAAAATGGAGAATTTTCTGTTAAGAGCAGCTGCATATGCTTAGCTCTAAGTGATGCAGAAGCAACTCCCATGAATTTTCCACTCACAGATGTTGATAAAACTTGGCTGATCTTCAAACAAGAAAATCTGCTATCTAGGCATTTTAACCAAATTTAATGGTGAAGTAAAGGTATGTAAACCAAACAACTTCCTCCAAGTTGCATATGTAATGGGAAATGGTCACTATTTCCACTAAAGGGCTGTAACTCTTAATACCGTAACTAGGAGCTGTAGACAGACATCTGATAAAAACTAAATGACACCTTCTTTCATAAAATGCATGTGACATGAAACCATAGTCAAGCCTGAAGTATTTCTCTCTTCTAAGATTTCTTTCTGTCACCTGTGTGAATAGAAAATCCAAGACAAACTCACTTTCGCTGGCCACTTATCTCTGCCAGCAGGGAAAGCTCCCTAGTACACTGTGGAAAGGAAAGACCAAAGTCTGCAAAAAAGGTGGATGAAAATGTCAGACCTCCACTCTAATGTTTACTGCATGGCACACACTGCACAGGCCAAGACATGTACACAAGGGCCTGCTTCTAACACTGGCAGAGATGCAAAATAAGGGACAAGGTTAGCAGCACAGCAACTGTGGGCTGAGTGCATCTAGGCATCTGAAACACGAGGTTGACCACATCAAGCCAGACGGTCACTCTGTCTCTGAAAGCTTCCTGTTTACACTTCAGTGATTTCTGAGAAGCTAGTGCTGTAGTAACTGTCTCAGCCAGGCAATTACTACACCTCAGCATAGCATGAAGAGATATTTTTCTCTCTCTGAAGTTTTCCTCCTCTTTCTACTTGAAGATTACTGTTGCTATCTTCTCCTATTGGTAAAAGGAATGGGGCTATAAAACCCAGATTAACATTCATTGTGTAAACACCTCTTTCTATTTGAAAACCATAGCCAGCAGCTGTACCTGCACACTAGTGGCTCATTCCGTTACTTTGTAAGCAATATACCAAAAAACACCACCACCTATCCACAAGATTAAGTACCCACAAAGTAAGAAGAAATCCAGAACTTACAGGCTAACATCCCTGAAAACACAGTAAAACATTAGACAGAGTTTTAAACTTTCAGAGAAAAAGTAAAATGTGGACTGTAAAACTAGAGCCATTTTTTTGGACACTACTCAATGCTGCCTTTGTATTGTCTTATCCCAGTTTTTCATAGACTATATGCAGCTTCTAGCAGGTTAATGTTTCTGGTTCAACCAGTATCTGTCCTTGCAGTTAACACAGCTGTATGGCCCTAAGACACATATGCTCATGAGTATTGTTTAATAATTCCACTCTGTTCAGTTGCATGCCTGTAGGTGAGTAACTTTTGCCAGAATAGACATCCCTTTGTCATAACATACGTAGGTGAATTTAGACTGCTGGTGAACTTTACGACTCAATTCCAGTCTCCTTTTCCCTAGTTTTTTTTGGTGTGTTAAATTATTTAGTTATTTAAAATCAAGAAAAGACTGGAAAGCATTGTTAAGTGATGGGTCATAAGCTGATTCTCTGTTATAACTAAGTCAAATGGTAACTGACATGAAAAAGACAAAAAAAAGTGGTTCATTGACATCTTACCAACAGAACCAACACCTGCAGCTTTGAACTGCCCAAGAATGAGACTCTGCTCAGTTTCTGCCAATGCCAACAGCAGCTCATATGCTTCTATGCACTGTTCACTGAAAGAGAAAATAAACCACAGAAATCTCACAAAATATATGTACTATTTAGAGGGGAAGAATACCTGCAACAGAGGCAGGTGATGAGCTGCATGATTCCCTATGTCTAGCAGCAGGAATATTAAATGACATAACATGCACAGCTCCTATCACAAACATCCAACATTCTGTCTTTCCTTCTGAGGGTCCCAGATTGGTCTCCAGTAATGTAACAAGTTGAAAATGGAAGAGAATGACCTGATGTGAAGTAAGCTCCGGAAGCATGCTTTGAACAGTCAGCAATACAAATGGTAGCTGACACAATCCCTTTGAGAAACTTTGTTCAGGCCTTCTTACTATACAAAATAGAGTATTCTAAACTCTGCTAATATAACTATACTATGCAAAGTATGCTAAGAAGAAAAGACAAGAAAATACTTCTTGCTCTGTCCTAGCTGTAAGATTATCTTCCTTACAACACAACAGCTTCTCAATACAGTTGTGAGTCACTCATTCCTGTTGCATTCCAATGGTTTTGAAAATATATTAATATGTCTATTTGCAATTTACATTTCCTTGTAATTTGGTCAAGGCTGATAGTAACAGAGCATTCTCTAAAAGGCCCAAAATTTGTCTTAAGACCAGAACTGCCTGTTCTAAATTAGTTGCAGTTAGAAGAGTTAAATGTCACCATCTTTTACATACAGTTTAGAGCAAATTTAGATACGCATAACCAAATACCAACCAATTCATCCACAACTCCAACTGATGTAATATAAAGTCACTCTGAATTATGCGGAGTACAATAATACTCCTTGATCCACTCTCTTGAGAAAGGTGTCAGCATAATACAGAAAATAAGTATCTTATGACTGGATGCAGCAGAAACAGTTTGAACCTACACACAACCCCTAATTCAAATGCTAATTCAGTATTTAAAAATAAAAAGATAAATATGTACATGCCTGTTAGATTGAGTTGACTACTGCTGGTAAACCAGGGCTGAAATACACTTGTATTAGTCACTTCAGTTTGGTAGTTTTTCATGGAGTTTAACTAAGGGGGCACTTTTTCAAATAGGAAACAAACCTAAACAGTGTTATTATGGCACACCAACCATTTCACTCTCAAAGACTTCTATCAAATATCATCACTCCCTCTTTTTCTCTCTGAAACACCCTCTGCGTAGGTACACACCTGTACTGCAATGCAAGCCTGAGGGCTGTGGCATTGGACTCGTACTTCCCAACAAGCATGCTCATCCTTTCAGCATTGCTCTTGCACTCTTCCAGTGTTATTGTCAACAAGTCATTCTGTGATTTCAAGTGCTCAATGCGGCTGCAGAAAAGGAAGTAATTTGTAACCTTAAAATTAGCTTGCAGACACTCTCCTGAAAACTTGAGAACAATCATAATTTAAAACAACAAATACCATCTGGTCTATGCAAGGTTTTTAATGAAGCTGCCAAAATCTGTAAGTTCTGTGTTCCATATCAAGAACCAACAGGATAGTTAATTTCTCTTAGGACAGCCTCTTCTCCTCTCCTCCCCTCCCCATAAAATGTAATTATAACCCTGTACAACAGCAGCAAGCAGAAAGCTTGTACCCTTATTTTGTAGCCACAAGACAGCAGAGGCCAGTTTCATAACAACCTTTTGCTTAATTTTATTTCCTCCATTCCTCACTTTCTGGTGCCACATTTGGTTCTTGTTTTAAATGGTGTATTCATTAGTGCAATGTGCGGGTGCATGTAGGGATCATGCAGCTGCATAAATTCCCCCTTTCTTTGAAACATCCTGAATAACCACTTCACTTGAAGCCATATTCTGGTTGTGATTAGAGAGGTAACTTCCAAAATACAAGAAGGCCATGAAATCTCCAAAAGTTCTGGCAACAGTCAAACAGAAACTCGTATCAGAAATTAACTGCAATATTCTTCTCACTGAGGTTAACCCTGAGTCTGAAAATGAGGCTTCAGAATATCAGTATTACTGTTTATTCTCTCTGCTAACAACTGCACTATATGTCAATGTACTACGCCTAATAGTTAAAGTTGGACATACACTGAAAACAGGCAAATGATTTCAAAATCTGGACAGGCACCTAATGAAGAAAGTGCCATCCAGAATTCTAAAATCACTGACTTCTTAACAAACACAAGAAGAGCTAGTATATCGTTTATTCAGTGACCAGAATAAAGCCCTGACTTTCCTAGCTGCTAGAATCATAGAATCATAGAATGGTTTGGGTTGGAAAGGACCTTAAGACCAGCTAGCTCCAACCCCCCTGCCATGGGCAGGGACACCTTGCAGTAAACCATTTCACTCAAGACTCCATCCAACCTGGCCTTGAACAATGCAGGGATGGAGCATTCACCACTTCTTTGGGCAACCCATTCCAGCACCTCACCACCTTCACAGTAAAGAACTTCTTCCTTATATCTAACCTGAACTTCCCCAGTTTTAAGTTTTAACCCATAACCCCTTGTCCTATCACTACAGGGCCTAATGAAGAGTCTCAGAAGCTTCACATACTGTATCTTTTTTGACACTTCCTGTATGGATACATTGTCAAAGCATAATGGGGCATTGCACAGAAAAAGTAAGGAGATCAAAAAAAGAAAAAAAGGGATTAGATTTTGCAGCACTACAAAAACATGAGCTACAAATAAAAGATTGTACTGATTAGACTGAATTTGAGATAGCTGTGGGAAAGAGAGAACTTGGCAGGAAACATGCTGAGACATGATTCTCACATTCCTCATCCACAGTTTTTATCTGCCAAAAAAGGACATGAAACATGGATTTTGACAGAGTTTAGTGCAGTATTTTAACTGCAATCAGAAACATGTAATTTTTCTTCTGCAGACAGAAGTCTATTTACTGGTATATATGCCACACCACCATACATCAGTACATTCATTGATAAAGTTAATGCTATAATTCTGTTTCTTCAGGACAAAAGGAAGCAAATTCCAGAATGATGGAGAATAAGTTATGGGAATCTTTATTTTTCGCAGTTATGTGCCTTATGAAAAAAGATTCCATGTCTAATTGGTCAGCAAATTGTCACAGGTGAAGGTGTCATGCTGATGTAACAATGCATGACCAAACTGTCATACTAATAGAAAGAATCCTTAGTATATGATTCAGTCTTCATCAATTACATTCTGTAGTATCTGAACTACATTCCATGGTAGATGCCATAGTTGAGCTGGGACTGAACTAAGAAAAGGATAATAAACCTGTTTGTTTGTTTGTTGGTTTTGTTTTTGTTTTTTTTTTAACAGCAGACAACACATTTGAGCCTATATAACTTTTCACCTTACCTATTTAATCTTTCTGTCTCCACTTCAAACTCTCGGATTTTACTCTCAGAGATAGCAGATCCATGTGAATAAAGAGTCTGAAATATTTCCTGGATGTTTGAGCAGTCTTGAAGAGAATGTGCCAAATGTTCAGCCACAGTACTAGACACCTGCACACAGCAATTAATACATTATTGTGAGTAGGTAATAACTGGATTCGTCTAACAGTAGTCTGCATTGAGAGCTGTATTTGCTTGCATGCACTCATTTCAAGGCATTCATTATTCAGTTTTTATCACGAATTTTAAAGTTAATAAAATATTTAAAAGTTTCCACTTCAAGAAATTATTTTGATTTAAAATTCTACTAACCAAAGGGTGAAGCCCACTGTTTCATCATGTACTTAAAAAGCCTAATATCCAAGTTATTTATTTTCTTGAAAACTTAGCAAAAAGCAAGAGCTAAGTTCTTCAGTGAAACAAATATTAACACATAGTAACAACAGCATTATGGATGGACACTGGCATCACAAAGCAGAATGTGGTTCTCTGTTGACTGGAAGTTGTGAAATGCAATTGAACAGTGTTTCCTTGAAGAATAATATTTTGGAGGAATTGACTCCAATATTATCCTCTCGAGGTCACTCAGAGAATGATTTCTAGCCATCAGCTATGAGAAAATGAGATCTTAATAGTGGGTGAAATATTCTCTGTTGAAATATTTTTCCCAAAATAACTTCAAAAGTATTTCCAGTTAGCAAGAAAACAATGCTTTTAATTGAACACAAATAATTTTCAGAACGTATCATGCATGTACGTAATTATTAGTCCTTACCCCTATGCTGCTGATTTCTGATCCTAAGACAGGCCTATCAGATGATGAAGACTCTGATCTTGTCTTTGACAACTTCACTCTTTCAGCAATCTGGAAGTCAGAATGTTGCACAGGTTACAAACTCAATAAAGATTACATAAAATGCATTTGTTCACTAGCTACACTTGCAAACCTGGAATAAACTTCAGTACAACATAGCTGTAAAATTGACACCTGTGTTGTAATGGAGAATTACAATAATTAGTGCTTAAATCCTTTATGCAACTTAAGTTTATGGGCCTGCTTAGGATACCAGAAACTCTGGAGATTACAGGTGTCTCCTAGTTCATCACACACTTGTACAGCAGCTTTGCAAAAGCTGTGCTTTTCCTCAATAATCACAAGTACTGCTGGAAAACACAATAGCTCACCTTGGCTATGGGAATGTCATTGCTACTGCTGCTTGTGCTCAGCTCTCCGGTACTGGGGTTAATGGGTCGACTGGCAGAAGTGAGACGACTTGGGCTGGATGGGCCTGTGGCCTGTACGCTTTGTAAACGTGTTTGCAGCTCCCGAACCTACAGTAAAACATAACATACTGCTTTTTCCACTTTTATGTTTTAAATAGTTTGAAGATTTTCTCGTTGTTTAACTGAGCCTAATTGCTTCTGGCTTGAGCACTAAAGTTGTATTTTGTCCTGTGGTGGCTACAAAGTTTTCATGTGGGAAGCAGATGAATGGACATTGTTTTAAAAATTCATTGTCAGTTATTTTAAACTATCTGCAACGTGGAAACATGCAAATGTAATACTGTAGAGTACACAAAGTTTCAGCATGTTTTATATAACCTCATAAGTGCAGCTGTACTATACGTATAGAAATTATTCTCTCTAGGGTGAAGCTAATGCTCCAGCCTATGATTATGATGTCCAAACAAATCAAATTAAGATCCTACTGTTAATGGAAAGCTCCAGTGTTTAAAACACTCCTGACATAAATATATCAGATGATGACTTTGACATAAAGGTCAGAGAAATTCAAATATTAATTGTGCTTTCAAACCTACAGTTAAGTAAAGCTACCAAATAGTGAGTAATGTACAGACATGAAAACTCCAGCAAATTACCCGTCTGCAGAACTGCTCTGTAAACATACACTGCAAACACTGCAAATACTGCACAGTCCTCAAAACACCAAAAGATTTTAAGGATTAAGGGTAAAAAAAATCTGCAGGAGCCAAACTATAGCTGAGCTAAAGATTATAGTATTTACCCTGGAACAGACAAAGAATAAATGGTCTGCCTAAGAGAAAACAATTATGCCACAAGGTAAAGTGACAGCTCATTTTTCCCACAGAATCTCAAAGGAAGAGTGTGATATGAGAGGGAGAAAGCCACCTGAAGAGGAAACTTCCCCGAATATGGCGAATTTTCTGTGCAGATTTTGTTGTTAACAGTCCATCTACAAGATGGAACTGGTGAAATTTTACCAAAGGCCCAGTGCAATGAGGCATTGTTTAAAAGCAAACAAACAGGAAAACCACTAGGGATGTATTCTCCATAAAAATCAAATCCCTGCCTCAAAATCTGACTTAAAAATTGATAAAATATTATTCCATGCCCACAATCTAGTTCTGGAAGATTTCAGTGCAAAAGCAAGTAACAGTCAGAATTTAAGGCAACCAGAGTATTAAAGTCACTAAAAATGCTAAGCATTTTAACATTAAATGCTAAGCAATTTAACATTAAAAACATGTTATGTTAGGATAACATTATATAAAACTTTAATGCAGATAGGTTTCCTTCAATGTTTGTTTTTTGTTTTATTACTGCACACTAACTATTGGCCATGATTGCAAAGCCAATTATTCTTAAGGATCTGTAAAACATTAGCAACAGAAAGAAAAATGAACACAGCTAAGACTGTAGCCAGTCAAATCTTTCCTCAGGAAAGCATTTACAGAAGAAAACTCAAAACACAGCAGAGTTATCAACCTATGCAAATTGCTGCTTTCAAACTGTATCATAGAAGCAACCACAACTTACATACACTGTCTACTTATTCATGCTTCTTGATGTATTCACTGATTCACACCTTCATTTGAGAAATTACATGCTGGATTAATTGCTATAAATGGCTGCACTAACTTTAGCAATGCTGAGTACTGGATGGTAATTCTGAGCAGGATATAGGTCACAAGTTCATATGACCTATAAAATCACCTATCTCACAATTCACACATTCACTAAGCTGGAGCCTCACCACTGGATTGCCCACCCACCAGAGCGCCCAGAGGCAGCTTAGGTAACTATTTGTGGTCATCAAAACCTCCACTGTATATAGAGCAGTAATGCACCATCTCCTCAGAAAGTACTTTTCCACACTAGTAGTTATTTTACTGGAAAAATAAGGAAGACCAAAGAACAAGAATCAAGAAAGAAAAAAAAAGACTTCAGAAGATCCAGTTTTTTCTCTGGATCCATGAATGCATGAGTTTTGAAAGGACAAGTATGATTAAAAATATCTGACCACCCTGGCTCAATGCTGCTACCCATTTTAAGTGTCATTACCAATATAAATTAATGTGAAGGTAACATTTATTAGTAGAATGAAGGTAATTGCAGTAATGCACATGAGGTGCAATAAGCACTTGGGAGAGAGAGGAAGGGCAGGTCTTACAGGAAATGGATGATAAAATTGAAAAATCTGATGGGTGAAGACAAACAATGAAACAAAACCAAAAAAGCTCCACTGAAAGACAGGAAAGTGTGGATTTGTGAGTTGGGGAGGAATAACAAGGAAAGATTTAAAGACAGATTTCTTCAGCTCCTGCATCATATTAGGACATAAAAATTGCCTAATCATCCTAAAACTCTCAACTGAAATGGAATGTGGCTGACTGGCAAATCTAATTATATGATCAGGAAAAACAAACAAACAAACAAACCACCAAAAAACAAAAACCGAGGAAAAAATGAGAAATTCAGGAAAGAATCTGTGAATACCACAATTTAAAAAAGGAAAGAGCAAAGATTTTCTAAACGACTGGAGGAAGTCCAAAGAATTCCAGAAGTAAAATAGTGCTGGAACCTTAGAAAAAGCAGAAGCAGCAGCATTAAATCAGACACAAGGCAACAGAACCATTAGACCTGAGAGCAACAGATAGCCTATATACCAAACAGATGTTTGCATGTGACTTACAGATGTTCTCAAATTATTAATATAAACTTAAATAACTGGAAATTTTATTTAATTACTACTTGATGTTTAGCAATATGAACTAATTGTTTACCATTTTTTTCCTCTGAATGCTGAGAACTGGAGTAGGAAACAGGGAAAGCAATTCTTCCTGCCATAATACCTTAAGAACTAAATAAAAAGATAGCAAGAGTAGAAGAGAATACACTACAGTAACGCTGGATTTCTGAAAGATTTCATAAGTCATTAGCAGGCATTACAAACATGTTTGCAGAAATGCATAGTGCGCTACAGAAAATAATCTGGCAAAATATACTCATTATCTACAATCATGAATCTAAAAAAATTAATTTTACTCTTTGTATTTTACACATGCATACTCATAACTACATGATTTGTAGTAATATCCTAAATTAAAAAACAAACAAACAAACAAAACAAACCCACAGATAAAGACTACCTGTTTTGTCACGGATTTCCACGTTCAAAAGACAACTGCTTTTGTTCCCAAACCAGTTTCAAAAAGGGACATGGTTGTGATTCTTTTCTACCCTACCTGTGGCCTGTTCCATCATGCAGCATCTTTGAACCCTTCAAGCAGTTAACATTTTTACCACTCCAATTTTTTTCCTTGCTACATTGTGGAGGAAGATGAAGTCCAACAAATCACACGAAGTGAACAGACCTCTCCCACTTTCTAATTTATCCATGCATACTGCAAATCTGTGGAGGGTGGCGTGGTTTAAGCCCAGCTGGTAACTTAGCCCCATGCAGCAGCTCACTCACCTTTCCCCTTCCCCCTTCCCTGGGGATGGGGAGGAGAATCAAAAGAATGTAAACCCCATGGGCTGAGATAAGAACAGCTTGGTAAATGAAGTATAATATAACACTGCTACTACTACTACTACTGATAACGGGAGTAACAAGGGGAGAGAATATAAAACTAAATAGGGAAGAAAAAAACCAGCAGCAGTGATGCACATTACACTGCTCAGCACCCACCAACCAATATCCAGCCTGACCTGAGCAGCAATCCGCCCCTCTGGGTAATTCCGCCCAGTTTATATACTGGGCATGACGTGCTGTGGCATGGAATAACCCTTTGAACATTTCAGGTCAGGTGTTGTATCTCTGTTTCCTCCTGGTTTCTTGCGCTCCTTCTCATCGCAGAGCATGATAGACTGAAAAGTCCTTGATAAGGCAAGTGCTACTGAGCATCAGTGTGTTATCAACATTGTTTTCAGACTAAAGCCAAAACACAGCAATGCACCAGCTACTAAGAAGACAAATAACTATCCCAGCCAAAACCAGGACAGAAGGGAAGATGGAAAACGAAATAACCTGTGTCAAGCGTCTCTGACTGGTAAGGGCCCTTCCCAGCCTAAAGAGCCCGTAACCTTTCCATCAGGCCCAGTCATCATTATTTTCAGCCAGGTAACTTTCAGACCCTCTTAAACTGTTAGCACCAGAGCTAACAAGGCCTGAATTTTTACAGTTTGTCTGTTGTGGTTGAGGGGAGTATGGTAAAGAAGTCTTTCCTGGTACTTATCAGATCCATCTCCTCAATGAATTCTCTGGAGCTGAATAAACTTAGACATCTCTGCATTTCGTACATTCAAGAAATATGTAAGAGCTTAGCTGTGACTAGGAGTGCAGATCGGAAAATCAATCTGCAGTTCAAACAACTATTTTGAGGAACAGAGAAAGGGTACAACACACAGACACAACAAGCTATGGGAGAACAGGTATGCTACTACGGTTTATACACATGGCTTTCTTCACTGGCAGGAGAGGTTACAGTGATACAAGTCTCTTAGTAAGCAGATTCCTCTGCTTTTGACACCTTTCAGACAGAAGTCCCCCTGTGCAGAAAGATAACCTGGGTGCTGCACCTCTATAAAGGATGCAAAGCAACAAAAACTAAAGACATGGATGGACATGACATGGGAGATGAAAGGTGGATTCCCTAGCTCTGACCACAAGTGAAGTAGCAGAGAATGGAAACAAACACAAGTGAGGGCAGTAAGTGTATCTCAGGCTTTTTCTCATTTAATTTCAGATTAATCACTAGGTATTTGCATACAAGCTTCAAAGCAGAAGCAAAGCTCTAGTTCATTACCAGCTAAGGGGAGATACCACTGCATATGCAAGGAGGCAGAGAATGGAAATAGATTTTGGCTGCTACCTCAGGTTTCTGGTGTGCACCAAGAGACAAGGAGACAGAACAGTTCGAGGATCACTTTAAACTGCAAGCTCACAAAGGCCCATAACATAACATATCAGCCTTCTCTAGCAATCTGAAACAATACCTTTTGATCCCAACACATGGTGCCAAACAAGGATGATGAGCAGCTTGTGCGAGCTTCCTGTTACCCGAGAACAGTCTGGGCTCAAGGATGCCTGCAAGGCAAAAGATCTGCTGCTGTGGTTTGGGTAGGTTTGAACTTCTTGCAACAGCAAGGTATTTTGGGAGAGTCCTTATACTAAAATAAAGTTTCTCAGAGTGGGGACAATCCGGGCAGCTGGAGGGATCACACATTAAAAATGGCACTTTTATACTCCTCTGCAGATTAGTTTTCATGAAGCTCTTAAATTGAAGATACCTAAAATACTAAGTCTGGTTTTGTTCTGTTCAGTTTGGCGAATTCAGGTGAGTTTGGAGCACATACAGATTGATTTTCACAACTAAAAGCATCTGATTAACTGAACAAGTTGACATATGGTAGAGAAGAGACTTGACAGACTTTCAGAGCTGGAACTGCCTTTTCACTCTAGGCTAAGTTCTTCAGAACAGCCTCAGGGAAGCCTGAATGCTGCCCACACCTACTGCTTCTCATGCCAGCAGGCTGCTTGGGACTAATCATCTGGTAACTTTCATGGGCAGCAATTGCAGTCACGATGGAATTTATATGCTGTATCAGTGCTGCTCATCTGACTCCCGTGGTGGATATAAGAGATTTTGTGTAAGGATGCCACATTACTTCTTCTACTACTATTTAAGCCTGTTTCCACAAATAACAGTTGTAAACAGTGCTGACTTGATTACAACCTTATTCTCATGTACTAATAATCCCATTATCTAGTACAGAAGTTTCCCAGCATCTTATCTGCATTACTAGATTCAGGATTATGGTCAGCTATGCGTCAAAATTTTCTAAGGCACTGACTGGCCCAGACTTTAAATAGATCTGATTTTTAATACAGCAATATTATACAGAGGTAAAATAAACCTCTGTGTTATGAAATTAGCTGCTACACTACAGGCACCCTACAGAAATAAGAGATTACCTCATTTACTAATGACCCATAAGAAACAAACTACATATGTATGTTGTCTCTTAGCTACTCTTCTAGCAAGCAGCTCACTCTGTTAACTGAGCACAGTAAATACCTAATTTAATTACATCTCCAATGAGCCTGAGACAAATGTATTGAAAGCACTCTACTTGATTACAGACTGTCTAAAGTAACAGGCCTATCGATCTGGTCAACTTCAAGCTTACTCACCTCACCCAATTTAATTTGAGAAGAACAGTAACTAGATTTTACCTGGAACTCCTTCCCACTCTCCAGGGAAATAATCTGAAGTAACTTTGAGTTCAGGTGGCATACAGAAAATATTTGATAGGTCAAACATTTATTTTGTTGCAACTATGGACACAGAGTTACATCAAAAATGCAAATGTGGTTTCCAGTGAGATAATTACATAGTGTTGCTTGCTGGGTCATATGCCATGAACAAACTTCTCTGGTGGGGGTAATAAAGTGGTTGTTCTGCAAGTTCAGGATGATATTAAAATCTGTATTTCAGTAAAGTCCTGTACATGCGCAAACTAAATGAAAACTATGGGGGGGGGGGGGGGGGCGGAACCCTAACCAACCAACTAACCAAAACACCATCTGCCAGCTGTGCCAATATAGAGGCTGCTTGATTCTGCTATGCTCTGTGCCAGTCCAACATTAACCCTTTGTTCACTGGGCAAGACATCCGTCCAATCTGTCCAAGAAAAATTCCCTTAATTAAAGGAGAATGAACATTTAAACTGGCTTGCTCTTTACAAAAGACAGCTCACAGTCTCTACAGAGCAATTCAAGACTCACCGGGGTCAGTGGTCTGAACACTGTTTGGGTCAGTAATATCCCCACTGCTGCTACCATCTGTAACTGCTCTAACCACTTAGGTGATCAACAAGTTGATGACCTCAATTCTGTTTCCACCAGAGATGCTTCCATAACAGATACATTAAGAACACATGCAGCATCCCCAATAACAGATCCAATAGATCAGCAACTACTAGATCAGCATGATTTTAGCCTAGGCCCTGTCTATGGTAAAGAAATTGTGAAATACTCAATTATACAGCCAGTACTCGTGGGGCTCCACCAAAGCTTGGTTTACAGGGACTGACCAAGTCAAGCAGTATCCACACGCACAGAACTGAAGAGCATCTTCCTCATCATCTAACCCAACCCTCTGCTACTGCTGTCAGCCAGACAAAACATAACAGTTTTGTGCAGAGATACTAAGGTTAACTCTTGAATTAATGCAGCTCTATTAACTGGACCAATAAAAGTACACTTTTTTGCTTTCCTTTGGATACAATCCTAATGTAACAATCCTGGTTTTAATGGTTATCCCTGCACAGTATTTAATTTCATGATATAAACTTTCCCTATAACTTATTATTTATGTTTATACATAAATTATATATATTTATATATACATAAATTGCATATGTAGTTCATTACATATAACTTTAATATTTTAAAACTCCATATACAAAGTAGTAGCTTTACTCCTTACTGTTTCTTCAGAACCACAGTCCTCTTGTCTGTTAGATATCTCATAGTCTAATTTCTGGCCTAATACAGCCGCAAGTGGTTTACATTAATCCGTTCTTGCTCCAGTTTTGTCCTTATGTTTGAGTAGCCATTAGTTTTCATTCTTACCTCCTTTCTCCAGTACTTGTAAAGAGAAAGCAAATTCAGATTTTCTTTGCAGCTTGAAGAGGACAATCTCTTTAAGTGACTTCTCAAAGTAAGCTACCCATTCCCCTGAGCATCTTCTACATCATTTTTGCCAATTTAAGCAGAACTTTTTCAAGTGTAAACAGTAAGAACTACATATAACATTTCAGACCAGATCCCACCACTCTTTATACAGTCTTTCCAATCTCTACTGGAAATAACTTATTTGGTGCAACCTAGGACTGAATATGCCACTATGCATCAACAGCTCCACCACTGCTGATCCGTGAGGGTACAAACACCAATTGTTTCTCTTTTTCTGTTTTGGATTTTTTTTTGTTTTTTTTTTTTTTGTTATTCTGAGGAGCTCCTGGCTGTCAGCATAAATGCTTGCTACCAATCTTTTTAGCACCTTAACCTGTATTCTATACTTCACAGAATCATAGAATAGTTCGGGTTGGAAATGACCTTAAGACCATTTGGTTCCAACCCCCCTGCCATGTACTTCTCACACATTAAATCTTTCTCTATTAATTCTGTCTTCAAGGCTACCTGTTTTTGACTTGTTTGATATCCCAGTACTTATCTGTATCATCTGATAGTGTCAATATCTGCATTTGTGTAAGCAAATTTCAGAAGCAAATACTCTGTCCTCTGCTCACTTACCCCCTTCTTCTCCCACCCCCATCCTGCAACCTGTTATAATTCAGCAGGTGCATAAATGCTACTTCTGTAGCTCAAGGGGTAGTATTGCCTTTGTTTAAAACAGAAGAGTCTGTATAAAACCAGTCTTCAGGACTGAAGACGTCTTACACTTACAGTATATCATAAAAATAAATTTTACAAAGGAAAAGTTGAAGTGGTCCTGTTTTATGTGACTGCAGATTACTATTCTTCCCTCATCACACATACCTTTTGTTAGTGTTAAAGAGAATCTAGACAGTTTTTCAAAGGTAATTTGTGACTCTGTATCTGAGGACTGTAACTCTCACACAAGCTTCATGCTAAAATGATACAGTCACTAGGAAACTACATTGTTTCAGCAACAGTATTTGTCAAAAAGGTTGATCTGCTGCCAGTAGGTAAAGAGCAACACTTACAGTAATTTTACCAAAATACAGTCGCCTAAACTGTCACTCAGATTTAACACATAAACTTGAAACTGCCTGTTCTAAAAACAAATTATTTCCCATCTAGCCAAAAGTCTGCAGATTCAACAGGGACCAGTTAACAAATTTTAAAAGTAATTGAGCCTGAGGTCATGTTCTTTTGGAACTTTCATCCTTTGTGTATCATTTCCCAGGTTACTTTACTCTGGACTCCACACAAAGCACAAAGGCTTTATCTGACCTTGCAGCACTACAGAATGTAGACAGGCAAGCAGGACACGGCTGGGACTATTCATTGTTCAGTTCTGAGAATTATTACCCTCTGACAGGAGTCCTGCTCTTTTTCTTTCTCCTAATCACAAACTGAATTCCCATCAAAACCAAAGAAATATCTGTTGCTTACAGGGAAAAAAATGCCTCTCAGGAAAAATCACTAAATTAACATCTGCTTTCTTTATAGTCGAGTTACATAGGCTTCCTTGGAGATGAGTATCAGGTTTTTTGGTAACTCATCATTTCTGATATCAGGTTGTTGTACACTCTGGCTGTTCACCACACACTCTTTTTCAACTATGTTCAGGTTTGTTCCAGTTCTTTAATTTGTATGGCTCAGCTTTAAAAACAAAAAGCCCTACAGTCAGTGCAGGAAGCAAGATTAAAGAGAAGCTTTAAAATTATACAGGTTAGGAAGAACAAGAAGCATGATCAATACAGTAGCCTTACCCTTCTACGCAGTCTGTCCCTTTCTTCACGAATAGCATTCATGGTGGCCTTGGTCCTGTTCAGCTCCTCCTCTTTGCTACACACCATGGCTGTGAGGCTCTCATTCTCTTCCCGCAGGCCAGCTAGCTCCTTTTCCCATTGAGATCTCTCTTCAGACAGATTTGGATAAAGGTCACGTCCCAGTACACACTCAATCTCTTCCACAGTCTGCAAAAATACAGTCATCAAAAACCAGAAAGGAGCAGAAAAAAAGACTGAACAAGACCAATGGTACAAAGGACATGTGTGCAACACGCAACTATAGATACAGTTGTATGTACATACCAGCCCCACAACACCATTAGTTTGCTTCTTTTGCTTCATAAGTAAATTACAAAAAAAAAAAATTGTTGCTTAGTTTGGCCATTTAATCAAAATATTTCATACTGACCAGCATACATTTTATGAGCCAGAGAAACATGTCACCCAAGAGTGACAGCAACTGTGGTAGTTTTATCTCAGAACACTTTAAAACAAATTAATGACACCTTGTCATGGGTAAGCACTGTGCTGCTTGTTTCTTGCCTGAATGACAGGCAGAAAGTAGCAGCCTGTGAATGTGCATATCACGGAGTTTTTCTTAGCTCTAAACCAACTCCACAAAAGAGAAAAGAGTGGGATAGTAAAAAAAGAGGAGCCTCCTTTCCCATGTTGCTAAGCACGTTCTTTCCTAGAGGTGAGAGAGAGATAAAAGAAAGAACACTGGCCTCAGCTAGGCTTATGTTATATAGAAGATGTTACAGCCCTTGTAGTGACTACAAAAGGCAGTAAGCTTAAACTTCTTTTCTAAAAGAGCAATGCCTTGTATCAGTTTCACTTGGACCTACACATCTGAAACTATGACAAGGTAAGTTATTTCAATACCACATGAAGATGAATTTAAGTTCTGAATAAGCACAGAGTGGTTAATCTGACAGTCTGAAGAGAACTTCTGTAACGGCAGGAGCATTCTTTCTTGATGATGCCAGCCTTCTTTCAAACAGTGCCTCTTCATTATTGTGTTCTCTCCCATCTTCACTCAAACTCTCCTCTTTCTTCCATGCTTTCTCCTCACCCCTCTAATGCCAAGTTCTGCTGCTGCCTCCCTCTACCTTATTCCCGTGCTCCTAGTGTTGCTATCTGTGCAACCCCTCCTTTCCCAAAGACTCTTCTCCTCAGAGCACAACTGGGGTTGATAAGCCTGGAGCAACACTGAAAGACTGTAATGAAGTAGCAGGAACAGGGGCTTATCACAGAGCTATCTTCAGACAGGCTGCTGCTGTTTCTCCAGACTCCACTGCTACCATCTGCCTACAGAAGTACAAAGTTCAGGCAGTGACAGCATCAGCATGCATGTGACAGTCATACTAAGGGCTGCCCTGTAGTCCTTAACAAAGCTGAGGGACCTTTCTGCATGTGGCTATGCTCCTTCATTTTGACATGACCAGTAGCCTTTTGCTCACTAAAATATTACCACAATTCTCCTGTTTGATAACCAACACGCTACCATCCTCGATGGTAAATAAAATATCAACACTATACATGGATATACCTATGTAAACTACCAGGGTTTTTATTTTTTTCTAAAGCAGTAGCACAGAGCAGTTTTATCCAGCCTGCTGCTGCACAGCAGATAAATTAGGTATCATTTCATGGATCACAGGATCGCATTGCAATGTAATGTAGCAAAGAAGAAAAAAGCCAACAGTCAAAGCAAAAGACAGCCAGAATATTTCGGACTTCCTTTCATGATTCCACTCATTTTAAGTCTCCAAGTTCTCTGTCTGAGAAAGCAGGAAAGGAGCCATGGGTGGAACTCTGGAGAGGAGCTTTACATGTAGGTTTTGCTATATTAAACATATTGATGACACATTTGTCTAGCTTATAATGGGACCATGTTGGAGAGATTCCTATCTTCCTGAAAGGTTAATAACCTTATCATGCTATCACTTGTCAAACACAAACAATCCCAGGCTCTATAGCATAGGCAGTGAGGAAAAGTCTTCCCCAAAAATGGCTATCCATGTAGAGATCACATGAAAACAAAATGCCTGCATTTTGGACCAGGAAAAAGTTGCTGACAGTTACTTATAAAAATTTGGCTGTAGTTAATTTGAAGCAACAGCAAATAAATGGGGTTAAAATAAAAATCTTGAGAATTAAGATTACGGCAGCTACTTTTGACAGTTTGTTGAAGCTACCTCCTGTGCAAGTTTTCATTTCATCTCACTTTGGAGACCTCTCTGGACCTTACACAGACCAGCCTCTATCTGTTTTCCAAGATCCACAATCTTTCTCTTGGTGAATGTTGACTTCTGAGAATACTTACCCTTAAAGCACCATATAATATTGAGTAACATTAAAAGTATTGATCCTAATCCTTCAAGACTCTCAAACAAACTACTTTAAGACTGCTACCAAGAAACCCAGAAGTCAAAGCTTCCTGTTGCTCTCAAATATACCCACAGTCTTCAAACTACAACTCAACATTTATTTCTTCATACACCTTTATATTCTTCCACCAGCAGGAAGAGCGAGGACCTTCCCCAGTAGTATGCAAAAGTGTCTAAGTCATCTAGACTGGTCACAGACCTCCCCATTTTAACAGCAAACTTGTCACTGTATTTGTTTTTATATGAATGAGTCACTGACACAGAAAGCTTGTTCATCTCATTCCCTGCATGTAGTTAGATACTTTTCAGTTCTCTTGGTTTCAGGTTCTGAATTGCAATCCCTTCATTATATGTGCTATCGGGCATCCCTCTTCTGGTTCTGTTTACATATACAATAAAACCAAGACATACAATCAGTTGAATTATTGTTCCTGTGTCTGGCATGTCTCATTAGAATTAATGTAACAGGCATGCTTTGTGTTAAACACTAGCTTCATATTTTAAGACAGTCAAGTCACCACTTACACACAGTTTAAGTCATTTTATCTTCAAATTTCAGCAAGTATTACATACTGTGCTTTCAGTTACCTGTCAGTGAGTAGCTGTGTGACCTGTGACCTTGGGCAAATCACAACTTATTTCCTACATAACCTTCAGAAGATAAATTAAATGCTGAGTGTCCCTGTTCCTCTGAAATGAGCATAAGACAAATATATTCCTCATTTGTTATTGAAATTCTGCTAGTAGCTTCTCTGGGCCTTGGAGAATTCAGTGTAAAACAGGCATGCTACTGCTTACCCAACACACAGTGAGCTGGAGTTGATTTCTGTGAAGTACTTTACTTTGAGACCTTTGGAAGTAAAGTGCTATTACAACAGAATGTGACAGGATGCTTCAGGCAAAGTGCATGCTGCATTTAGAGCTTAATGTTACCATTACCTTAATGGCTAAATCACAATGTTTGCTGGCGGTAGTGAGTTGTTCAATATGTCTATCCACTTCTGCTACCGATAAACTGCAGCTGCTTTTCTTCCTCCCGCAGACAACATTTTCCAGACCTGTCAGCACTCTTTGCAGTTCTGAATTCAAGTCACTACAGTTATCTAAAAGAAAGCAAAACAAAACAAGAATTATCTCAATAATTAGTGACTCAGTGAAAAAAAAAATTAAGCCAGGAAGTGCCTGTTCCAGAACCACTGCACTGATGTTGTTCAAGGAATGTCCTTGCAATATGCCCATTTTTCCTCACAAAGTGATATGCTTAAACACCATAACCACATTAACTGAAATGATGAATTCATTCAGAACTCCCATCTGACAAAAACCCCTCCCCTATTTATCTGAAGTGTTTGTTCTTTATTCGAAGACCTCTTGTTTTCTGAAGAACATCACTTTAAGACACCACATGCTCACATAATATGGATTTTCTTTTTTGTTGTTTGTTTTTTTTTTTGCCTAGAAATAGGCCTTTTCAGGGCCTATTACTCTGATTTTATTATCCCTAGAGGTTTTTCCTCTGTAAATTCAATATATTTTTCTGCCTGGTACACTCACTGACACTACAACTTGACATTTTTCGAAGGAATTTTTGTCGTCGTACTTACGAGCTGCCTGATTTTAAAAAATCCTGGTGTTTAGAGAAATGATCCCTATCTATATGTTTCCTTTTTACAGCTATTTCTTCTTCAAATGCAACTGCAGAACATTCAGGGACCGTAACAACACACCTTGTTGTTTGTTATGTTCCATAATTCTACAACCACGTTAGCAGCATATATAACACTATTTTGATTATAAAATGTTGACAGTCACTTCCTTTTCTGTCTTTAGGCAAAGCTCTTCTAGTGTCCTGGGCATTGCCACAGCATCCTCCATTTCTGTGAAAAGCAGTGGTTCTTAGTACCATGCTATCTCACTTCAAAAAAATATTTTCGTTTTTCTTAAGCTTACACATGACAACAGACAGTGGCAGTTCCTAAGGAACGCACATGGTAGAATTCACCCTTGTGCTCTCTTGGCTGTGGTATTATTTCTGGCATACTACTTCAGAGTTTGCAGCAACTACCAACTGTAAAGCGTGCAAGTGGTATACTATGAGAGAGCAGTGCTACACATTACTAAAACCAATAGCAGGCATCCTTGCTGGAGCATGTTATTTCTATACAACTGCTGCAAGCATTTTACCTCATAGCTGCGGCTCTTACAGGGAACTAAAGTAGCATGGCATTGAACTGTGTCTGAAATTTAACAGACATGAGACACAAGATTACTGTAGACTGCCTTGATATCTCTCTGTGCAAGAGAAGACTGAAAGCATTTGGATGAAGGGATGAGATGATCAGAAAGTAAAAAAATCCTGTAAATGTGCTGCCACAAAAACACCTCAACAGACTAATGCAGAAACATGAAACTATCACTGACCAAAAAGAACAGTTTGGAATGATGTCACAGTATTGTGACATGAAAAATGTGAATGGCCAGTACATACAAAACTTTACTCCTGGAAGTCATATTCACTAGTTCCTGACTAGCAGCCACTCATCTGTTGTAGTAATTCCAAAAATCCCTTTACAGTAACACTTACTTATGAGCAGTACATACTGAGCAGGATGCTTAATTGTAAAACCCCCTATTTTGTTTGTTTGAATTTATTTGTTTCCATAGCATCTCCTGTAACAGACATTTCGCCTATTTAAAAAAACTTCACAAGACCTTGTACAATTTTTGTTTCTACAGTAACACTGTCCCCAGAAATTCAGGTTTTATGGAATCCTAGTACCTCAGAATCATACAATGGTTTGGGTTGAAAGGAACCTTAAAGCTCAACCAGTTCCAACCTCTTGCCATGGGTAGGGACACTCTCCACTAGACCAGGTTGCTCCAAATCCCATCCAAGCCAGGCCTTGAACACTGCCAGGGATGTGGCAGCCACAGCTTCTCTGGGCAACCTGTGCCAGCATAAGACCACCCTTGTGTTATCACTACATGCCCCTGTAAGAACTCCTTCTCCACTTTTCTCGTAGGCCCCCTTTAGTACTGGATGAGAACCCTGTTTGTGCCAGAAAACCAGTACAAACCAATCACAAGCACTGGAGAGTATTCACACTTTTAGCTCTTGGAGTTTTACTGCCTGTAGTGATAGAGCAGTATATCCACATGCATTAGTGTATCTTGTTACATTATTTATTAAATCACTGATGTTCATTACATTAGGGCAGTAAGCAAGGTAGTGCACATTGTTATTAGGTCATGATTTTTTATCCTTATATACCTGTATCTAGAAGAATAAAAAAATATATCCATATTTGTGTATATATATGTATGTGTGTGCATACACACACAACAGGATTTATTTTCACAGGAATACAGACACAAACCCCAAAAAGGACAGAATCTATAGAAGAATTACAAGGAAAAAAGAAGCAAAATATGAAAAAAAAAAAAAAGCAAGAATCCCTTCAGTTAACATTCTTATTTTCTCCATTGCTGTATTTCATTTTATTGCCATGTTTCCCACTGTTAGAAGAAACCTAGATGCATGACTTGCTGTTATTGTGAACAAACCCTGTCTCAGCTCCACACCATTAAGAATAAAACTGAAGCCCTAATCCCAAAATAAATGCTGAAAAGTAAATCAGATTTTTTTTTTTAGTAAAAAAAAGAGGAAAGAAAATGAAAGTCCTAATGTTAGAATCTATTCAACTAGAAAATAGTATGTATCGACTTCTGAAAGTAAAAGCTTTAATTTTTGAAGAATACTGAAACCTGTACTAAAATATCTTGACTCCATCAATATTTTATTAAGTGTAATTTGAATTAGAGATGTGCGCATCTACAGGGATATGACACTGTTGGAATCACATAAACATGGTGGGATGGCTCCTGTGACTGGAGTGTTGGAATTGAAGGTTACAGACTCTTTAGGAAAGGCATGCCAGACAGAAGGGGAAGGAGGTATAGCTATTTATGTCAATGATAGGCTGGAAAGTGTGGAACTCTGCCTGGGATGGGTGATGAGTCAACAGAAAGCTTGTGGGTCAGGGTCAAAGGGAGAACTGTGATGGGGGACATTACTGTAGGGGTCTGCTACAGGCTGCCTGATCAGGAGGACTGTGTAGATGTAGCCTGATCAGGAGGAATGTGTAGATGTAGCCTGATCAGGAGGACTGTGTAGATGTAGCCTTCTATAGACAGATATACTCACAGGCCCTTGTCCTCGTGGAAAAGAATATAGGGACACTGTTCGGGAAGCTAGGGACCAGGTCTTGCCTTTATAAATACACAACTCCAGAGCCAGTGTATTCATTTCAATTTAAGAAAATGTACAGAAAACCTTTTTTATATGGTAGCTTACAATATCAGCATGTTTTCTTCATTATTAAAGTCCATCTGAAGGCAATGAATATTATGCCCACAAGTCAGCCTTCTCTGGAGTCCACACTTCTAAACGGCACCACACTGGAACAAGCAGCAAGAAGTTCTCAGTAATAAAGTGCACTGCTCAAACATGTTGAAACCGCTTTAATACAGTTCCTTATGTATAGAAGCAAACATTGCATGATGCATTATAACCATGAAAGCGTCATGTGGAGTTAAGAGTTTATTATTTAAGCATCAAAAGTTCCGCAACAGGGCTTAAGAGTAGTACTATTTCAGTGATTTCCTAGAACACTCACTGCTCATGTACATTATCACCCACAGAAGTTCACCCACCAGACATTCAGCTAATTTACCCAGGGAAGAAAATGAAGACCAAGTATTTGATTCTAAATATAAATTAAAAGAAATAGTATTCTGAATAGAATTCTGGAAATCAGTCACAGTGAGGATTACATGACACTTCTGCTAGTCTACAGCTGTAAGGGTGGTGAGGCACTGGAATGGGTTGCCCAAGGAAGCTGTGAATGCTCCATCTCTGGTGGTGTTCAAGGCCAGGCTGGACAGAGCCTTGGGTGACATGGTTCAGTGTAAGGTGTTCCTGCCCATGGCAGGAGGGTTGGAACTAGACGATCTTAAAGTCCTTTCCAACCCTAACTATTCTATGATTCTATGATTCTATAAAAACACTATCATACTGAAGGCCTATTATCTGCTCATGCTTACATTGCAAACTTTATGGAGTAATTATTCCATACTTGGAGCTTCTTCAAATGATCAGTAATTGTGCTTGGATGACAAAACAGATGATATTCTGAAAAAAAAAGATGCTTGCCTTCTTAGTTCTTAACTAGAAAAAAATCAGTTACAGACTGCCTGGAGATACTCCCTTCTTGCACTGCATTTTGAATAGCCTGGGTAAGATTTATCCTTGTCTAAATCCACTTCAGTAAGCTATCCCAATTCCATACTTCAAAAAGGCTGTCAGATTTCAAAAAGTGCAGATATTCTTTATAATTAGGCTGTAAAAAACCTGGACGTGCTTCCCCCCCCCCCAAGTTTTACTCTGTCTGCAATTGTTTTCTAGAGTTAGACTACTTTACAGGCACAATGGTATGTGAATTGCTCTTTTTCCCCCACTCTTCTTTCCCAAAAGTCATGAGCTTTGCTGAACAATCATTCCATTTCAGACTCAATAGCTATTCCATATCAAAGCACAGAGATTACTTCACATGTGAGATCATAGTCATGGAAAAGTTCAGTATTTTTGTGATTAACACAGCCTGGATTAATTTGTATCCTTGCAAAAGACTTTCAAAAGCTATGACACCTTTCTGCTGTAAGAAGGCATCAGAAGCATAACTCACCTACGTCTGCAGCGACCATGGTGGACTGATTCTCTGGTACTGAAACAGAATTCTGGTCCATGCTGCATGAATCTTCGTTAACCTCATGCTGGCTTTGGCTGAGCTCTGACCGCAACTCTGAATACTCATCTTCCTCCCTGTGAGAGAGAGCAAAGGCAGAAATAAATCCTCTGAAGAAATACCATGATCCTTATTTCATACCTGTAATATGAAATATTGTATGCTGAGCAGCAGGATACAATCCACAGAAGTCTAAGCCAGCAGAGGTTTTATACCCTTTACTGCAAAGCAACTGTGCTATGCCCATAATGATCACTTGCAGCAGCCAACACCTTGCTTCTATTTCTTTATTTCCAAGTTCATTATTACTCCAGAAAACTGGACAAGGAAACAATGGGTGGAACTGAGTGCAAGCAAGGATGTGTGCAAGGATATACAGTGCTCTGCAATAAATCCTGAAATGGCAATTCTTAATCAGCGTAAGTGGCTTTTGATCCCAAAGTAAATTAGCAATTACTGATTTTGGTCTCCTCAGCTCAAACATGCCATCAGCTGTGAGCAAAGCAAGTATGCACATGCACAAACCTGCATATGTGTATCAAAATGCTCCTGGGGACAAAAAATTTTTCCTTTTCTCAAAAGGAAGAGAATGTGTGAGTATAATGCTGAACTGCTGCCTCAGTTACCGAGGTTTTAACTCATTTGTCAAGCTGGTTCTACTAAAATAATTGAGGACAGAGGATACTTTAGCTAAAGCTAATAAGATTAGAAATTTAGGGCTTTTCCCTCTTGTCTCCACACAAAGAGCTGAAAGAAGTAGGAAAGAAGATAAGTAAATGACTAACAGCTTTGCCCGAAAACACTTGTAAACATTTCTTTCTTTTGAGTTATTTGCTGATTCAACTCAAGAGTTTTTTTATTATTTTTATTGTTTTTACTTTTACAGCGACTGTTTTAACATTCAAGCGCTCATTTTAAACATAAGAACAACATCAGGTTATTCTAGTTCAAAGTCCCTCTGGTAAGTAAGCAAACAGCCTCCATTTTGTTAAAATAAAACAAATGCAGAGATTTGTTTTGATGCAGATTCAACACAAAAATGTGAGAATGAAACACTCTGGATCTGGAACAATGAGAAACAGCAAAGAGCTATCTGGGGATCTGCATCTGGGAGGGGCACCTGTAATGTTAAGCCTGCTGTATGTATGCTACATGGTGATGAGTGTTTCTTACAGAAGGATTGCAGGATTCAGCCTGGAGACGTGTCTGGGTTTGCCAGGCAATACAGCAGAGGAGATGGCCCATACATACAGAGAACAATGACAGAAGTAAAGTCTGATCTTAAAGTAGCAGAGGTGACAATTTATGAGACAGGTCAACTCAAAAAAGGAGTTTCAGTTTGCTTGCCAATGTCGGAGAGAGCGACCGGAATCAAGAGAACGACTCAATATGAGTTATGCTTCTTGTTCATTTTATACAAATCCTTAACCCTTATATACTATTTCTTACACGCACTTACAGTGATTTGGCATATTATGATTGGATACATGTTTTGAAGACCCTTAGTGACTAACATATAATTGGTTAAACACAGGTGTGAGAACTCAACCTTGAAAGCTTGCCAACAGTCCACAGTTCTCATTAACTCAGTGAATTCCAGCCTCTTATCTTGCTTGTTTAAGCTTCTTCGGGCCTCTCATGGCCTTGCTGTATCTTTCAGGATTATTCAGAGTTTATGTACCAATTATGCATTCTCCCGTGAGAACAGAGTCTCCACAGCCAAGGGTCATTTCTACAGGAACTATCATGCTCTTCTACCCCTTACATTCATTTCAGTAGAAAGGACGTCTGACTTTATCACAAGCACTTAGTGACTATTATTAAACAAAAATGCAGGTCAGTTGGTTAAAATAGAGATTTTGATAAAAAATAAGTCTTTATGGTACCATGCAGTACATGTTTAAGAGAGTGTGAGAACTAAATGATGAATAGCAAGAATTCAAACAGTGTAATGAAGACAGATAAGTGTGGGTTTATGTTACATGAACTCGTTTACTATTAGCCACAGCACAAGACAGGAGTAATTAGCTTCAGATAAAAACAATTCCCAAGCACTCTAACAGTTGCATTTTTTTTAACTGAAGGTAAATAATCTTTCCTTTTATGAAACAACTAGTTCTACATTTTTAAAACCTAAATTACCTCTACAAATGTGCAAGAGGCTGTACTGATCACAAAACAATGCTGCACACAATAATAATCTCTTACCACTCTTCTTCTGGCTACTATTGCATAGATTTTCTGTTTTAAGTCCAACACAGGTTCATCTAGCTAGCACTAGCACTGTTTTTTCAGTTTAAGCATCCTCAGTATCTTGGGGCACTTGAAAAGTACATCACGCAGCAGGACTTGCATCTTTCCCAGTAGCTCAAGCCAGAATCAGTCTCTGAATGAGCTACTGCTTCTAAGACTCGACCAGAAAAATCAGAAATCCATTTCTAGTAAAGCAACAGCAAGGCCAATCAGTCTCTCTGTCACCAGTCTCATGGGGGAGAAGCCTAAAAACACATGGGGGAATCTGAGGGGACCAGTGAACCTGAAATACAAATTTTGCCTTTAAAACTGAAGTTGGCAGTAACAAAAGATACTGTTGGTGACTCCCCTTTCCTCAGAACAGAAGAGTCATTCAGTGGCACTGGAAATACAAGCTGCTGAACAGCTGATGATGACGAACCACTGAACTCCTGCCACAGCACCCAGATGGTGGATGTATTACAACCTCCTGGTTGCTGTCATCATCTAGGACTTGGCTGAAGAAAGGAGATACATATTTGTTCTCCTATGTGCCCTGATGGATCCCAGTTGTTGGAATGTCATTGTGAGTTAGAGGCAACTGAAATCAGGTCAAGCTGTTCTCAACACAGGGCAGCATGGGAACAATGTTGGAGCAAAAGGGTGTGTTTTATGGGAACATCTGCAACTTACCTGCTTTCCTCATGTCCGGGTGCAACCAGTGATCACAACTGCTGTACAGGCACTGAGTAAAACTTGAGCGAGTATTCAGCAAAATGGCACACTTTCATCATCCTTTCCCACCACTGACAAGTTCTGCCAGGAACATGACAAGATGTGCACTCTCTTCACAGTGCAAAGAATGCATAGCTTCACACTTTAGGTGCCAGCAACAATTCAACAATCATTTTACTTGAACAAGTATTTTTAAAGTGTTCTAAGACCCTCAGATTGAGAATACTACAGGTGTATGTGCACTGCAACCCAGACTGACTGCTCCCTTTGTATATACTCTTAAGGTCCCTCTGAACTAGCTCACTTGTGAACAAACAGTGACACACTTGAGATAACATGAGAATTAATCACCAGTGGCAGGTAGGGCTGAAGTACTATTCACATCCACAGTGCTATCTGAATTGGATTCACTTAACTTCCATATAGCACATATTTTGAAGCTAGAATCAGATCTCCAGGTCATTGTGTAAATATGACTTTAAGTGCCATTTGTTATTTACTCTCCTTCTTCCTCATTAACTCCAACACAACCTACTTTCTGAATATATTTCAGATTAAAAGCTCTAAGTCTGAACAAGCTTCTTGACAACTGTTTCAAATAACCCTTAGCACACACCAGTATTCAACGGAATGTATTTCTGTTTGGTATTGTCAAAGTTACAATTTTTAGAGTTGCACAGATGGACTCAAACAGCCAGTGGTTTAGAACTAAAAGCAATTTGGTCTCCTTCCTTTTCCTGCATCTCAGTTTGACATGTATGAAAGACTGTCAATCACAGGCCAAATTCTTTTTGCCAGCCAAAGACATGATTAAAAAGGAAAAAAAAAAAAAAAAAAGAAAGAAAAGATTTGAGTTTGAATTACTCTAAGACAATACTAAAACCTTCTGAAGTCAGGAATATTCACCATATTCACCTTTAATGCAGATCTAATTCCTTTTTAGTACTTCAGTACTACTGTGTAATTTGTAAATCCTTTGTCTGCTTCAGAGTTATCTGGTGTATTGGTTATATCAAAGTATTTACAATATTGCTCTAACTGGGAAGATCCATTTGATTGGATCTGCTGTCCTCCAAGTTGTACACACTTGGGAGAGAAAACCGGAGCAGGCATACACCTCGTCAAAGGACAGAGAACCTTTGCAATGTAAAAAAAAATTCTCTTCTAAATTGAAACAGCAGAAGTAGGGGTAACACTGCCCCAGCTTCCATTTGACAAGCTAACACGAACCCAAAGCTAGCACCACTCAGTGAAAGCTGTTCACTCTAAAAGCAGGCAAAATGTGCTCTACACAATCCTCATAGTCCCTTCTGCCCAGCAGTATTGCAGAGTTTGACGAAAGCTTGTGAATTCAGTCTTACAATGGACTTACAATACTAGCTACCTCCTCCCACTTTCTCCTTAGTAATTTAGACGAGAACACTGAGACAGTCACACAACTGTAATTTTCCAAGAAAAAACAGAGCAAAGGTTTATGTCTCTCGACTGCTCAAATGAAAAAAAAAAGCATCCTCATCCTAGTAGCGCACTTCTTTAGTGTCTTTTTGCTCCCAAACTGCTACCGTATTGAGGTGGTACTGGGTAAATTCTGCACTGTCACATGTGAAGAACTAGGCAAGCAAGAGGTTCATCTACTTGAACAGTGTGAGCATAGGGAGTATCAAGTCAGACACAGATGTATTTCAGCTTTCTATTTTCGTGAGGTTGTGCTTCCAAACCAGCTGGGCTGTCCAGAGCAGTAGCAGGGAGATGAGACAACTGGAGATGAATGTTGGCTTGCTTCCACAACCATAGTGACCTCATTTTCCTTAGGGAATGCTGGAACAACACAGTGTGAGAGCAGCAGCTAACTTCATGTGGGCACACACATCGAAGTTCTTGTAACCAAGAAATAGCTATCAAAACCTAGAAAAATCCTGGAAACTTCTAAAAAACCTCCTGTAAGATTACTAAAATCAGCATATCACACATAATCTGGGAACAGGCACATGTGACTTAAGCTTTTTTTAGAGCTGGTATTACTGAACCACATGAGCAAAAGTCCAGACAGTGTAAGGACAGAAAAAAAAAAAAATACCCAAACAAAACAAACCATCAAAAACATCCTTGGAATGTTTTGGAAGAAAAATCCTTGGAATTAAGAATATTAACGAGTTTACGCAGCTTGCAAGAATCCTCAAACTGTTGCAAAACCTTATTCAGATTTACACACTCTTTTTGCTTACTTTCTGCCCCACTTTCTCAGGGTACCACTCACATTCAAAGAGATACAAATTTAAAGATAATACAGCTTAAAGAGGGTAGTCAAATATCCTCCATGCATCTCTGGTTTCTTCTAATTGTTTCCAGAATATTTTTGGGTTTTGGAAGGAACCATGAAGAATGTCACAAAGCAGCAGCACATCAAGCTACATGTTAGGGTTTTTTTTACAGCCTAAAAGCAGTACACAACAATCTCTCTGTCAGTGCTAGGGAAACATTTATCTGCTACACAATTAATGTAAACTCAAGAAAATTGTTTCCAGAAAGGCAGCCTAAACTTTGTGACAACACAAGTAAAACCTCCATACAGCATTACTTGCACGTAGCCAAAAATTAAATCAGGACTAAAATCCCTCCTGTGTTCTGGTTCAGAGGAAAAGTATAAACTCTGAGGCCATAGCCAGGACTGTTTTGTTCCAGCTCTTGGGCTCACAGTCCGTATGGCTCCACCACAGCCAAGGGTGGAGGCATTGTGAGTCACACCTGTTCCAGGAGGGACAGCAGTTACATCACCCTTGCTCCCTTGGGATGAAGCAGCTTCTCAGAGGTGATGCAAGCAGACTCCAGAGTGGATTTACAGACAGACACAAGCAAAAAATATCAGTTCTTCTTCTTTCAGTTGTCTTTACAAACCCTGTGCAATCCCTCCGATTCTACCTCTGATTGCCATCTTTCAGCAAAAATATTACTTCCCTGTTCCCCAGACACCACATTATTGGCCTGCAAACTATTAAAGGAAATAAGAAAATCCACTAACCTAACAAATATCTTGTTCTTACTAATAAAACCAGAACAAATAAAAACAGAGCTTCTCTGAGCAAAATGAGTTCTCATATGACAGGACCAAAGAGGTGGGGCATGCCAGTGGTGTGGGAACTGCTCCAGCAGTATTGTTCTGATGCCTTCAAAAGCCTGCAGCCCCCAAAGGGGCAGCCAAACTGCACTTCTCACGAGAAGCAGTATACACTTCCTACCAAGCTCAGTTCTTATGCCTCACATTCCTGTGCATGCCACTGCTGTTATGTTTAAGACATCATTAAACTATTCATAGTATGCACCCAATTCCAATATTTTGTAATTGAACCACTTGGCATTTAGCTTGCCACAGGATCTTGAAACAAACCGGTTTCATAGATTCTATGTAGTATTTTTCTTAAATGTCATGGCGTTATTTTGTCTTTCAGGCAAAAAAAATAAATAAGAAAATCCATGCAGCTTCTGTGATTTTGCCTTTCAACTAGACTTTTCAATTGGCGGAGCTTTACCAGAGAGGAGGGCAGGATGGCCAACCAGTATCATGCAAAAGAAAGGTGATTCAGAACAAGACAAAAGACAAGTTTGTCTGTGGAGGTATTAAGCATGAACATATAAGGGAGTTACAGGGATTTTTTTCAGAGAAGTACTACTGGTTTAGAAAATACCTCCCTGAAAAATCTCACCATGACCATCACTAGTTACGATCATCTCAGAGGTGGCAGTATTTATCTTCTTAATTAACATAATGTGATTCTATTCCTGCTTTTATAGTGGTATATATACGTGACAAGCCTTTTTTTTTTGTATATAAATATTTTCACGGAAGGCTAAGCAAGTAGTTGTAACAACACTGCCTTGTGCTAGTAGAAATGTTTACAGGGAAGAGCAAATGAAGCAGTTATAAAAAACCTTGCAGCTAATAAGCATGGAAAACTGAAAATTTGCTACTTGGTTAGAGCACCACATCAATATTACCTACACAAGAGTCAAATCTGACTTGATTTATCTAGAAAATCCATGGAGTCTAGTAGTTTTACTGCTTAAAGCTCCTTCTTCATTCTAGTCCAACTTTTTCTATGTGAGAGCAACACGTAAAAGCAAGTGAGGACAAGTGTTTTCCTGCAGTCAAACGTGAAATTTATTTTAACACAGTAACAAGTAATGACATAGTGTAATACCCCAAGTTTTGCTGCTCCAAAGACAAGCAACAGCATGATTTGTACCATTTTGTTTTGTCAGAAATACCAGTACAAGTAGATGCAAAACCTACTGAAAACCATTTGAGCCGTATTTTTCATTACATGTTAAAACCAGGTGATCTATAGCATGCCACAAAATAAAGTTAAAAGTAGAGGTGCAAGCCGGGTGGCTACATATTCCTTTATCCACCACTGCTATCATGTATCTGGTACCCTGGCATGTATGTTATGATAAAAAATATTTATACAGCACAGAGCAGTTCTTTGCAGTGATCATTAGGCTTTGACAAGTATGATTTTGCCAGACAGTATGCACTCTCAAAGTGATACTCTGGAGAACACATACCATAATTATGGGCAGATACTCAGTACCAGTCATAACAAGCCTAACTACCTAAAAGTCATCACCAAATTGTATTTGGAGTAGAATTCACACCATGTTTTGCACCATTCTTGCATTGGCCTACAGTTTCCAGGAAGTTGCTGTACCTTATCGTTGCTCCCTGTAGTCGATCAATTTTCTTATTTAATTCAGCAATGATACTGTGCAACTCTGTGATCCTTTCCTCGTAGCGTAGTGTCGTTTGCTCCTGCAAGTCTTCGTGCTCTCTCATTAGATGGGATTGTTCACACTAAAGCAGAAAAGCAGGGAACAGAAAAGGTTTTATGAGTAATTGCATAGAGGTCAATACAAGGTAAAAGTACACACCATTAATGGTTTCCTTACTCATCAAACCAACACTGCCTTTGAAAGAAAAAAGGATGGATATAAAATCAAGAGGTACACACAGGTCATTACAAGATTACAGATGGACTGAAAGAGTATACACTGTACTCTTTTTGTCGCCTCCTCCCCCTCTAAAGGGCAGAAGTTGCCCTTTCTGCTTGAACTAAACCCACCATTTGCAACTGAAAATAGCTACAAATATCTCTCTCACCTTTTGATCTGTGAGATTCATGATGCATCATGAATCTTCAAGGATCTTCCCTATGTGGTCTGAATTAGGACAAGTCCTAAGGCAGAAACCACATTATTATAAAGAAAACAAACCACACTTTGAGGTTATGACTTATTCTGTAGTGTATTTGGTTTTATTAGCCTGTAAAGACATGATAGCATATTTTAAATTAATTTAATCCATTCTAATAAAATGCTTATTACTTGAACAATTAAAGGGCTACATGGCTGCTTGGTTTCTATGTGTAAGACAAAATCCTTGTTTTAATTTCCCATAGAATTTTAAATCCAGTCCCTCTGGTTTGCTCTTCGCATCAGCAAACACTCCAATCACAACACACAATTACAGCCTACTTCAGTTACAATACAACAGTGCATGCTGATTGAAGTTATGCTTGATAGTGGCTGGAAAGAGCAAGACTTCAAGACTTCTAACTTTTTGCTTGTGACCACCTGCAGGAAACAATCAAGCCTCCTTGCAACGGCAGAATGGTATGCATTATGCTTTCAATGAAAAAGAAAATCACACTCCAACTGACAGTATAAAAACTATACTCATTAATTGAAGACCTGCAATATAAGATCCGAGTGACATTTCTAAACTAAAGGCTGTAATTTATAATAATGTACAAAGTCATCCAACATTGCTACACCAAAACTTTTGAAAATCAAGTATACACCCTATACAGAGATAACTCCCTCAACCCTTTGTATCATAAATACAAAAATTATACCCAAGCTAGCAGCTATTTTCGATTTGCCCTCCTATTTTTTGGCCACTCACATTTATAGCTTAAGGACATCATCTACATAAAAGGCTGCTTGAAATCTAAAATTTATGTTAAGCTTTATGTTTTATTTAAATTTGAAATAATTTTTTTCAGAATTTTTAAGTTCCAGGAATATGCATATTGAAAAGTAGCCCAGACATAAGAGCTCCATCCCACAGACTGCAGCAAAACTGTTTCTTAATCCAGCTGTAGTCAAAAGCACTTTTACCTACACCAAGACAAACAGACCATATCTTTACACTTGTCCTGGGTAGGAGAGGACTGATAAATGTTCAGCTGGCTTTTAAGACTTCATGTTTGCAACAGTATAGTATAATGACTCTTTATTGTAGAATCATTTGACAGCTTATTTCTCACATTTTCGTATCTTAACATTGTATCTGGTTGAAGTACCACCATGGCTTTCAGAGTACAGAAACAGTGTAGAGAAAATGTTGAAAAAATGCTCTAAAACAGATTTCAAGTGCAAAAAAGAGTTGCTGCTTCTGTCCTTCTAAACCTAAATTTCCTCTGACACACACTGATACCCACAAATGCTACCAAAGCATTATTCAGATCAATCAATAATGTGCAGTATTTTTTTTTTCTTTTAAACCAAAAGGATATTTCAGATGGAGTGTATAATAACTCTTTCCAGAGAATAAATAAAATCCCTATTACAATATTATTTGTCTTTCTAAGCTGTTCACTGAAAAGCAGGATTTATTTATCTATCTTGACTGACGATATATGGACTCCTGCTAATGGACCTCAGCCGTACTACCAGACTTGCTTTCTGTTTTCTCCAGCCATTTCTCTCTTGGAACAATGATGTGCCCTAGTTCCTATTTCTTTCCAAATTGTATATATTCAACTCTTTCAATTTATTTGCATGACAGCCACACAGACTTTTAAAGATAAATACCTTGTACCTTTTCCCTCATCCCTCTTCCAGCCTCATACTTAAGTTCTTATCAAAACCATTAAGAGCTCTAGTTCTCTGAGAAAGCAAGCAGAGGGATAAGCCACTGAGAGGTTGTGAAAGATGAGCAATTGTTGAGGTCAGGAGAAATGTTGCCAGCACAGTTCTAAGTGTAAGTAAGTGACGAGTAAGTGACTCATTTTTTGTACAGACTAAAAAAGGTTAATTCAATTACGGTATAAATTAACAATACTTGGGAACACCTTTGTCTGACATTCCAATACTGGGAAACAACCACAAGAGCAAGAAGAATATGAGGGAGAAGGATGTTAAGAAAAAATATTTTAACCAAAGGATATTATCTCAACACATGATTCTACTGCCTAGTAATGTACATAAACTCCTAGGGAAAAAAACACTACCAGGTGCAAACCTTTATGTTAAATTCACAGTGGATAGTCAGAAGACAAAAAAGAGCTCACTTAGAGACCCATCCCCCAGTGCCTCAGGCCCTGCAAACACTGGCTATAGTATTGTTCACCAAGAACACAAGTCATCATCTGAATGAGCCACCATAATAAACCTAACAGGCTCACAGAAGCAGAAAATCTTCAAGCAACTGATACAGTAATTTAAAAAGGAATGTCAGACTTTAAAGTGGAAATCCACTCATCTAATTTTAAGTATAAACACAAGTCCATCGTGGCAAATCCTCAATCATGCAAATGTACATGGTCAGAATTAATTGTCTGGTGATACTCTATGTATACTTGATGTGGAAGAAGACTACAACTAGACAGAGCTGATCCATTTGAGATAAGGACATCACACAACAGGACAAGTAATTTCAATGTTCATCTGAACACCATGTATTTCCACTTCAAGTTACTTCAAAATATTTTTTTACAAGAGGATGTAAAGAAATATTACAGCAGTAATGGGACTTGTTTCTTTGTCATAAAGAATCCAGAATGATGTAGCACAGTCTTTGTTACCCTACCCTTTGTTACCCTACCCTTTATCTAGACCTATTATAAAATTCCAGAATTACAGAGACTAAGCACAAAGGTTGAGAAAGCAGGACTACCTTGTGAAAAGAAATGAAATGGTAGGAATGATATAGGTAAGTGAATTGTCTTTCCTTGCTATATTTCTTGAAACATCAGCATTTTATTAAATCCCACGTTCTATTGTAAAATTGCAGAACTCAGTGTCACAGGATGTTGGAAATTCCAAGAATGTAGATGGATTAGAAAGAATAGGTAACTCCATGGAGGATAGGGCCACAGAGGACTATTAAAAGTGATGTAGCCTCCTGTTCACAGATGTTGGCAGAAAGGTGGGGGAGTATGAAGGAGAACAGCACTCTGTATGTATTTCTCATGATCTCCCTTCAGACATCCACTATTTATCATATCAAAGTGAGGATACCATGCCAGCCAGAGCTAGCAGAAAGCACTGCATTTCTTCTCATAACCACAGAAAGATTTTTGGAAGAAGATATTTGTTGTGGTTGACCAGTACAGCAAATTTAATTCAAGAGATCACTTCATTGCCAAATTGTACACCAATACAAACATGCAAAGAGATCTGCTGTCTTATTGACATAATAGAAGGGTGTGGCCAAATGCTATAGCAGGTCTCCACACAGACTGCAGTTCGGAAATGAACATGCTACAACAACCAGTGATCAATTATGTTACTTTATGAAATTTTAAGCACAGTGTATCCAACCATCTGACTGCACCATTTGTCATCTAAATTACTTCAATTGCATTTCCTCAAATCACCTCCACCTTTCAAATCACTAATGCTTTCTTCCAAAGCATCTCACAAGCCTCATGAAATGATGGGAAAAGTATTACCAAAATGTGTTTTAAGAGCTATTTGTTCCAGAGAGCATTTACCACGCCTGTTAAAATAAAACATGCACTGCCTTTGTTAGTATAGTCCAGATGCAGAATAGAGATTTAATACTGATCCACTAGCATCTGAATATGGTTATGCAGAACCTCTACTACCTTGTATTTAATTTATGCCTTCTGAACCTCTGATTCACATTAGTGAGGAAGAAATGCACTAGACAGAGGTTGTAGAGGAAAAAAATGTTTGATATTATACATGATATGAATTTATGAATTTGGATGAATCTCTGTGGAGTGGGAGGAAAAGTTCAAAAAATTATGTTAAGTGAAGCATCTACTTTGGAAGATAGCCAACATACTCAACATGTGAGCTGTCCTTGTTTCTTGGCTTATTCTTTAGGAAAGACTCAATTTTATTGAATACACACACCCCCCAAAAATCTATCTACCTGGGGGCTTTAAAAAAAAAAAAAAGAAAAGAAAAATTAAAGATTGAAAATAGCTGAACCACAGAAACTTTATATAAATCGTTCATAAAAAAAGTAATTTTTTAATCTGACTTATTTTCTGATTTTGTGTTATTCGCAGTTTGGGTAGCAGCTGTCACTACACTTGTGTTCACAAGCACACAGCCCAAGATCACATAAAAATTTTCAGCATTACAAACTGAGAACATGCATAATTTGTAACCCATCAAAGAAAGCACCAAACAATTTTGTGCTAACAGAGCACATGTTAGCTGGTATTAAGGACTGATCCTTAATCCTGGCCACCATCAGTGGGGATTCCTTACTGTATGGGAGAACCTATGAGGCACTCTTCACTGGCTACGAGACAATATCAGTATTTTTAAATAAAGATCTAGAAGTAAACCTAAAACATGAACAAAAAACCTGTGGTTAGCACAAGACCCTGCAGAGTTACATGTAACAACAAAGTCAGTGTGGTCATGAAGAATGATGTGGAGTGTTTGGATACAATAGATGCATCTGGCTCTTTAATGACTATCAAATGCAAGCTCCTATCAAATAGTATGTCAAAGAGCTGCAGCAGAAATTAGAAAAGGCTTTCAGGATTACAATAAATAACGTTAACTCCCAGCATGGCTCTGACTCACACATCAAGAAGAATGAAAACATGAAAGCGTTTTGTATTTCTTGATGTTGCATTGTTGGTCTGCAATAAGAGTATCACTTACAAGCCCCAAAACTTTAAAGGTAGCTGGAAAAACATCAAGGAATGCGGACAAGGGCCAAAATATGGTTGGATGACTGAAGTAAGAGACTTAAAATCTAGGCTGCCTAAACATTTCTGTATTTGGCTTGAGCTTAAGTAACACACAGACACAGGCTCCTATCAAATTGCACTGAAAATTAAGATCCTAAATTCACAAGATCACAGAATGGCTGAGGTTGATAGGTCATCCAGCCAATCCCATACAGAACTCAAGGACCGTCACCTAGAGCAGGCTGACGAAGACCAGGTCCAGGTGGTCTGAGTACTTCAAAAGCTGGGGATTTCACAACCTTTCTGGGCAACAAATAAGATGCTATACTTTCACAGGACAAAACGCTTTGTGCCTATGCAAGTATAAGTAAGTATGCATTTTGAATTAGCTTTGAAATCTGAAGTACTAACAAAAGGTATTTCCCAGAATGACAGTACCAAAACCCAAAGGTTTCACTACCTCTTTACATTTATCTTGATAGGAAAAGATTCATTTTTTTTAATGAGCTGTGAAAGCACTAGAGTTCAGACCTTATTCTGACTTAATCCCTTGGCTTCCCACTGACTGTATTTTCTACAACAGATACATACAAAACTGGGTTACTAGAAGCCAGACTGAGATGACAAACCATTCCTCACATACCATGAAAGCACTGCCAATTGGCAATAACTTTTTATCAGTATTAATTTGTGCTCTGCTCGTATCTGACCCCGAACTGGAAGGGCCTGCCTTCCCAATCCAGTCAGATCATGCTGCAATTTTTATATTCTAATATAGTTCAAAGCAGTTGCTGTTTATATTGGCTTCAAAACAAGACTGCTTCTTGCAGTCTTCAAATTCTTTTCACTTGTGACATTGCTCAAATATTATATCCTCTCCCCACGTATCACATTCCTCTCTGAAGAGCAAGACAACACAAAACCAAGGACCACCTTCAGAACTGAACTACTGCTCACCTGTGCTTTTGCCAATTTCTTTTCCAACAGGTCACGCTCCCCTTCTGTTTGTTGTAGACGTTTATTAAGCTCCACTATGTCTCCCTTTAATGAAGCCAGGGATGCTAAATGAAGCTAGAAGACAAAAGGAATGAAATAAATTAACTAATTCACAAGTCATTTGAAGATAAGAGGATTATGCACCAGCTAAAATATCTGGAATTCTGTAGTAGTTAAAAGGAACTTATTACAACAAAAGTCTAAAAGAAGTTCTCCTGTGCTACTTTTTGCAAAGAATTCTCCAGACAGCACACACGTCCCTTCATCAGAGAACATATTATAAGGACAAACACAATGAAGTGTAATTCAGCTGGAAATATGCATTAGTTTAATAGGAGGTGGTTTAAGTTTTGTGTTATAAAATCTTACACTAAATTTGTATTATAAAAGGTGCATCACAATTTGATACCTTCAGACATATAGGGGTTATCAGTTTGGTGAAGGGAATAACTCAAGTTCTGTGTAAGAACTTGATTTTATTTTGCAATTAAAGCTTACTCCACTTTGAGCTACTGCTCTGCAGCTGTTTTTCTCCTTGGTTCTATGTCAGTGAGTTTCAGTGATTCTAATCTACTGAAGCCACACATGAAGAACCTGAACTGTTTTTCTTACTGCAGTAGATCCTTTTGATGAAAGATACATTCCATATTTAACTGATAGCATGTGGGAATATATAGCAGACTAGGATAACTAACATCATCTAAATTACATCAGCTACACTAACCTAGAAATCAAGAAGGATTCTTAATCCTATACTTGTAATTTATTCACACTCTCTCCCTGTCCTTAAATATCCCATTCATCATTACACTGAAGGCATCAGCTAGAATTCAGCACTCAGTATTGACAACTACAGCCAAAGAATCCAGGAGGAAAATTAGCGACTGATAACTTTCTTTGTAGTAGTAAAAAAACAACTGCAAGTTATGCTTCATGAGAAAACAGATGTGACCTTTCACACCGGACCAAGTAACACAGCAAACACCGCTCTGCTGCCAAGATTCAGACTGAAACATACACCCTGTTTCTAGTCCTTCAGCCAGTTTCAGTCCTTCACTCTGACATTTTATTGGGCAGGTTACTTTTAAGTTATTTTTCTTGTTCCATTTCCAGCCAATCTGCTACTGAGTCCTATTTTAATATCATTTTACCTTTACAGCACTAGAAGCTGGCAAAACCAGAGGTGTTTTCACACAGTGACATGAAAGTAGCTATATGACGGCAGAGAGACAATATCATTTGACAACGTCTCCTTCACATACTGTATTGCTATAGAATAAGCCATCTCTGGCTTCAAGACAGAAAATACAATTTTATGAAGATTTTTAGATGTGAATTTTAGGTGCTAGTAGCTAGTTATGATAAAAGCTCTGAACATCCTAATTTTTGAGCTCAGTCTAAAGTATTTGTATTACGTCAGCTATGAAAATGTCTTACACAGGTGCAGTTATTAATTTCAGTATAAATATACCTGTACACAATTTTATGTCATGATAGGCTTAAGATTCTCGAGGCAGACTCATTTTTCATGTGAAAAAAACAGCAATTAGGTCCTTCTACAGGCATACGCTACCTAACTTCTTTCAGGCATGCATGCTGGACTATCTTAGTAAACCCAGCAATACCCCGACCATCTTGAAATTTTCTTGGTCTTCACCAGAAAGCCTTTCTTCCTGCCACAGGAAACTAGGCAGTGGTTTTACAGTGTGGAGAAACAAGAATCAGCCTAATTGTACCAATATGTTTGTAACTGACTTTCAATTTTCAGGAAAGCTAGTGACTTTATAAGCCACTGTTTTACCTTATTTCCTTAACAGGGGGGAAGTGTTACAATGAAGCTCACCAGTTTGTTAATCACATCTTGCATTCCTCACCACAGCTTTCAAATAACACATGAAAAAATTGCTACAATTCTCTAAATTGAGTAAGACCATGCTACACAGTCATATAAGTACACTATAATTAAGTGATTGTACACTATAATTAAACGATCACCAGCTGTGGTTTTAATTAAATACCAGAGCAATAATGTCCATACACATGGTGCTGTAATACAAGAGGACACTGTTAATTTAAAAATTTTGGTGAAAAACAACTTGTTCTCTGAACATTGGAACTAACGAGGCAGACTGCCTATGGATTTCTTTGTCCTGTTCCCACATTGTGGTCAGCTCTTCTTCACATCCCCTAGCACACCCCAAACTGAGTAATAAACAGCACTAATTGTGCCTAGTTTTATAGTAACACTGCTGCCTGGCCGGGCAGCTCCTGCTGAACAAGGGTATCCAATGAGTGAATTACACCAGCCACCCTGTTCAATACAGGGTCTCTTTTATGCAAGTAACCAAAAGATGTCTTTATTAATTACACAGAAAGTTTGTTGCATCTTTTATGGTCCAGAATTATCCCTTCCTTTCATTACATCAACCGGTCCAGTTTCCAAGTATTAGTAAAACAATAAAAAACCCCAAACAGCTTACTGAAAGGGAAGACTAGAAAACAGGAAGTACAGGAAGCTGTAACACACAGAGGAGGGCTGCCTGGTGTATTCTTTGGTTTCATGTATGCATCCAGTCCGCTCAGCAATATGGCATACACAAGGAATGCTGTGTTAGTGACAACAGATAATGGTCCATGGTGAAACACAAAAATAGAACAGTACTGTTTGGCACGGGTTGTGGGAACATAACCTTGAAAATAGGGGAGTTAACACAGCTGTTAGCAAAAGGGAGCCTTATACCAGTAAACATCTGTTCATATGCTGGCCACACATGTGCTGATGTTGCAACTTGTAATTTTACACTCCAAACCAAGGGGGGATATAAAGACCTGTGCAGGGACAGAAGGGTGAGAAGGCCAGATGCGCATCTTGATTCAGGAGACACCCTGATGACCCACTGCCTACCACCCCTCCGACCGGGCAACACATTCCATCTCCTTCTCATGCTTGGCAGTACCCCATGCAACCAGGGGTTGGTATGTATGTAACCTGCTTTGCATTAATATATATATTTGCTTTGCACTATATAAACAGACCAGAGCATTTGATTGTTTACATTGTGTTTGGTGTCCAGTCTTTGCACACAGGAATCCTACAAACCTGGAACATAACTGGCAATGAGGATGGGATTCTTGTAGAACAAACACTGTAGACTGAGAACAGGGTTTGGTCAGGAGGCAGCATAGCTGCACCAAGAGGCGCTGTTCTGTGCACGCGAAAGCAGGGCTTGGTCTCTGTGTGCACTGTCAGGGTTGCTTTAAGGTTGTTGTGTAATATACTATTGCTCTATTTTGTAGGAAGAGCCTCGGGCTGTGGCTCCTCCCGTGGAGCAACTGGGGTGGACGCAGGAACCGTGGAGCACGCTGTGTGATACAACAGACACCTGCACTAATGCAGGACCTGAACCTTGGGGAGCTAAGGACCCCACGGGAGTGTTAAAGTATTGGGGTGAGTTTGTAGAAACCCCCCATACCTGCTCGAAGGAGAGATCAAGTCATGCCAGACATATGACAGGCTGCTTGCTGCTTGCCTACAAAGTCATGGTAGATAAGAACACAGAATGGGAGCAACAAGTAGCAGATTTACATTCCAAGCTAGAAAGGGTTAAAACAGAAGTGCTGTTGCAGAGGCAGGCATTTGTAGCTGCTGCAGAGTAGGGTGAGCGACTTGGGGAAAAATGTGCCGCCCTAGCAGAAAAATATGCTGTTCATGTTGCTAAAAAAAGGAGCAATAAAAAAGATACAAAGGCAGTGAGACCATGGGTCCATGCCCTTGTGTCTGATCCTGACTGGGAGCCAGAGACATGGAATGAAGATATCTGGGGTACCAGTGAGTCAGAATCAAATACTGAAGACAAGGCAGACGTGAAAAAGGAAGGAGCCTGTGTAGCTCCTATGTTTAAATGTAAGATGATTACCAGGGCAAATGGCCAAGTAAGAACAGATGAATTGACAGACTATAGTCCTGAGGAGATGAGTAATTTATTAGATAAATGCTAGCAGATACCAGAAGAGAAGCCCCAGAACTGGCTGGTTCACCCCATGGAGGAAGGAGCTGATACTGTATTACTAGAAGGAGCAGATGCGAAAATACTCATGGGACTCACCTCTGATCTGTGTGTACAATCCATCTTATGTCACATAGGGGACCAATGTATCACTGCATTGCAGTAGCTGGAATGTCAGATCTATACACTAATGATGATGCCTGGCCACCTGCAGCTAAAGAGTGGACCACTCTGCAGCAAGCCTGAGGGCATGAAACTAGCCGTCTTAGTGGGCTCTCCTGAGCTTTTTATGAAACAGCCCTTAATTACCGGAACACGGAACACACTTTTAGAGAGATGTCTATCAGCATGGAAGGCGTACCTCATACCCATACTACTATAAGAACAAGGAAACCCCACTGAACAGGTGATTGAAAAGCTATGCCAATTCGGGGATTTTACTGGGGCTGGGCTTGGACAAAGCGGTTCAGGGCCAGGGGAGAGTAGAAAAGATATAAAAAACTGCAAGCCATCCCATTCCCGTTACGTGGATAATTGAAAAAGTATTGCTGATAGTGCACCCAAGTCTGAAGCAGGCCAGGGAGTGTTTGTGTGCATGGGTGCAAGGTCGGGCTGGGAAACAGCCTGAGGACTGACTGTTTACAGAACGGAATTTATAGTGACTGAAGACAGTCACTGTGGTTGATGTGGTTTCTGTTTGGCTTCATAGCCCAGATCTAAACCCTCTGGTGTTCCAGCGGGCCACCCGTGTGGCTGTTTGGGCCTGGAGGTGAGTGCCTGTATTGGGGGGGAGACTACTTGTTCACGGGTGTTCGCCAGGGGTCTCAGGAACCTATGTGTCTTTTATAGACCAATTGGACAGTGTTATGCAGAGGCAGATTGATGGTCACTGGACTACTCATGCACTTTTATTTCAGCTAGCATATGAGGGGTCCAGGTGGGGATTGCAGGGCTGTGTTAGCCCCAGCCAGAGGAAAATTTACAGACATTGACAAATTGGTTGGGGCATGTCAGGATGTCAGAGCAGAGGCTCGGAGGGCTTCTGTGTTGGCTGATGCATTAACTATT